ACAATTGTAAGTGACACACAATGGAACAGTAGAAATTTAGTTTCGATGTAGTACAGTTTTAATACTGAAACGATTAAAGTATATGCACATGGATTTCATTAATCTCTTTTAAATGTACAATTGAATTAGCTGTCCCCATTCAGAAATGTAATTTCAACATTTGTACACAAGTTATCAGTTTTTAAATTGCAGCTTATACATAATAAATAACACATCACATTATTTTAAACTCATGTTGTCCCGGGTAGTTAGCGTCCTTTGGATATTTTCTCCAGGTCATCCTGGTTTCTTGGGAAATGAGGCGGCAGATAAACGGGCCGGTTCTGCACTTATTGGTGAATTGGTGTATGCCAATCTAGATGATGTGAGGGTCCTTTGGGAGTGCGTGAATACTGCGGTGGCACGAATGGATCATTACTAGCTGAGGAGAATGGCCCTGCGAGGATTTACTGGTGCCATCGCAATTAGAACTCTTCGCTTGCTGCTGAAGATCGGGACGGAGCTTATGGGAGTGTCCCGAGTGCTATGATGTCAACATTCAACCTCATGCTATCTTACAGGAATGAGCCTGAAGCTCCATTCATTGACTGTCCTTGTGTGTGGTTCAATATCAAACGGGGTTTCACGTCTATATCTCCATTCTGCCCTATCCTGTGTTGTCACTTAGGTGTCATTGATGAGATCAGTCCATAATCTTTGGCATTTACAACAAACGATCATTTTACGTTTTTCCCCCCGGACGTCCTCTTTTTCTCAGTCGCCTAATTTCTCATTTCAGTATTTGCCTAGTGATTCACCTTTCGTCTCTCTCAGAATATCTCCAATTTGGCGCCAAAGTTTTACACTAAAACTTTGGCGTGAAATTGGAGATATTCTTCATAAAAAGTATTTTTCAACTTAAGAACAAATCTGTTAACTTGGTGTAAAATATTGAAATTTGCCAAGCATCTGGTTAGTAATCACGTCCTTGTATATAAAAAAATATATAAACAAACATTTCGTTTTTGTTTTGCTTTGTTTAAAAAATAATGTAATTATCTCTTCTCACGCCTTTAGGCGCTTTGGGCATATAGGATGAACACCCATATTTTTACAGACCAATCGGCACTAGGTGGGTAATGTGGTCAGCATTACACCGGCCGTCTTTACTTCTCAAGGACATACATCCTGGTACCCATTTTAGGCTGGGTCGACCTGCGACACCCTATACCATGATAAAAATCCACGCAGCCAACAGTGGGTTTCGATCGCGGTACGTTAGATTTACGAATCGGACTCGCAACGCCTCAGCTGCCTAAGCCACGGACGCCGGCTGCCCTTGTGGTATGTGAAAAAACATATGATCCAAAGCACACAGTTAGCATGTTTACAATAGATGGCTTGAGGTGAAGCTGGCATAACAACAAACTGCACGCCTGTTGGAGGCAATCAGTGTCAGACACTAAGGCGAGCGTATTTAGCTAGCCAAGTGGATAAGTCATCTACCACCACAATGCTCGTTGACAGGCTCATAAAAAGTACACGATTTGTGTCAATTACAGTCGGGTTTTTTTTTTTTTTAATTTTTTTTTTTTAGTACATAAATTATTAGATCAAAGAAATTCACCGCTGTAAGAAAACAGCACCTGCACAATTGTAAACTACGCAATCATAAGGACATGGGAAATTTAAGACCCCCGTGTGTATATTCATGTTGATCCGTAAGTTTTCGAGACGTTTGCTAAAGATTACGGGCAACACTTTGGAACGAAATACAGGATCCCATTTTTGTCCCCACGCAACGAGACCCATATAGGTGTATAATTTGTAGCGAAAAAAGGGTCGAGGGGGGGGGGGTAGGATCCTTTTGATTCTATTGCCTTACCAAACATATTTTAGAAAGGTAATTTGTTTTTGTAAAGACCAGTCTTTATACTGGCCATTTTTACTTCCCTTGACATTTCATGGTTCCTTTTGAGTAACATCATCAGTATGACCGCTCATGTTAGCTATGAATCATCCAGCTCGATGTAGATCTGAACCTAAGTCCAAAGGCGGAACCCATCAAGCCATGGAGTTCACTGAGACTTTTGTTTAGGCGTTGATTCCATACTTGATACACCAATGGCGCAATTGTTTTATTTGCTTCTTCAACATGTGCCGCATATGGAAGTCATCTTGGTAAAGAGGCAACTTCACAGCGTTTACCAAAGCCCATATCATTAGCCCATATCATTAGCCCATATCATTAGCCCATATCATTAGCCCATATCATTAGCCCATATCATTAGCCCATATCATTAGCCCATATCATTAGCCCATATCATTAGCCCATATCATTAGCCCATATCATTAACCCATATCATTAGCCCATATCATTAGCCCATATCATTAACCCATATCATTAGCCCATATCATTAGCCCATATCATTAGCCCATTTGCCTCTTCAACAGCCAGAGGTCTCCATACTGATGGTACTTGTTTGGTTAACTATTTGTTTTGACCTACTCCTCCCACACACACACACACACACCGACCCACCTGTGTCTCCAGCAGCACTCGGAGCAGAGCCTGTTGATAGCCCACTGCAACCTTCTCTCCTGTTACTGGTTTTCAATCTGTTCTACCCTACGTGTTACCTCGTCGCCCAGGCGAGAGACCACCCCTGTATTGTGCAGTCGCAACACACTCCCATCTGCCTAAGACGGTCTCTGTACGTAGGCTACATTAAATTACTTTGAATTGAAGACATAAGGTTCTGTCTCTCAGACAACGAGAAATTAAGGGATAAAAACATACAGTAACTGACACACCTAGTGTACTTTTAATGAGCCGTTAGCAAAGGGTGACTGAAAGAGCACAGCATCTATTGTTCCAGCAACAACTCTTAAGCATGCTCTCTTACAGAGTGTCCGGCCGACAGCTAAGGGTGGCTGAAAGAGCACAGCATCTATAGCTCCAGCAACAACTCTCAGGCTTGCTCTCTCACAGAGTGGCCGACCGATAGCTAAGGGTGGCTGAAAGAGCACAGCATATATAGCTCCAGCAACAACACTCAGGCTTGCTCTCTCACAGAGTGGCCGACCGATAGCTAAGGGTGGCTGAAAGAGCACAGCATCTATAGCTCCAGCAACAACACTCAGGCTTGCTTTCTCACAGAGTGGCCGACCGATAGCTAAGGGTGGCTGAAAGAGCACAGCATCTATAGCTCCAGCAATAACTCTCAGGCTTGCTCTCTCACAGAGTGGTCGACCGATAGCTAAGGGTGGCTGAAAGAGCACAGCATCTATAGCTCCAGCAACAACTCTCAGGATTGGTCTCTCACAGAGTGGCCGACCAATAGCTAAGGGTGGCTGAAAGAGCACAGCATCTATAGCTCCAGCAACAACTCTCAGGCTTGCTCTCTCACAGAGTGGCCGACCGATAGCTAAGGGTGGCTGAAAGAGCACAGCATCTATTGTTCCAGCAACAACTCTCAGGAATGCTCTCTCACAGAGTGGCCGACCGATCGCTAAATGTGGCTGAAAGAGCACAGCATTTATAGCTTCAGCAACAACTCTCAGGCTTCTCTCTCACAGAGTGGCCGACCGAAAGCTAAGAGTGGCTGAAAGAGCACAGCATCTATAGCTCCAGCAACAACTCTCAGGATTGGTCTCTCACAGAGTGGCCAGCCGATAGCCGAGGGCGGCTGAAAGAGAACAACTACTGCTTCAGTAACAACTCTCAGGATTGGTCTCTCACAGAGTGGCCAGCCGATAGCCAAGGGTGGCTGAAAGAGCCAAGCATCTATAGCTCCAGCCACATCTCTCTGGCGTTGTCTATCACAGACTAAATGACCAACAGCCTAAGGTGCTACACATAGTGCAACCCTCTATCGTATGCACAGAAGCATTTACAGATCTTTTGTTTTGTGTGAGACTACGCAATGCTGGCACCTTTGCTAAGCATATATACATATATATATATATATATATATATATATATATATATATATATATATATATATATATATATATATATATATACATACATACATATATATTTAGGGAGGGGGGAGGAGGGGGGGGGGGGTCGGCCTAACAAAATCCTAGGCAGTTTGTAGTCCGTACTGTTACCTTTAATTAGATACTTTAGCACCTTTATATTCAGGAACATAAAAAGGACCTAATATCTGATGAGCTGAACAAATATTTGAGAATGAACCTTGACCTTTAACATTTGAGGTGAACTGATTATTCACTTCACCGTGAAGACTAATTTGTCCTTGACGCGTAGTCATTTAGATACATATAAATACAAATATAAAATGAAATGCGAACTTTTAACACACTAAATTACTGAATTACGAGCATAAAATACAAACAGGAATGCCAGCACGCGAGCGCACATAGACAAGAAAGCATGCATGCACACACCAAACACAAACACGCGAGGGCGAAAACAACAAAGCACACTAACATAGAAGCTCAATACGCCAATGCATAGACACACAACATATACAGCACACATATACACAATGATGCAAAATTACGAACAATCAAAGAGCACCTAATTACTTGAGCATCAACACACTCTAGCGCCGAAACACTCAAAAACCAAACACTCTAGCACCGAAACACTCAAAACCTAAGCATCTAAATATTGAAGCCCCCAAACATTCTTGCCCCTAAAAATCAAACCCCCAAACCTCCAACCTTAAAAAAAAAAATCCGAACACCCAAAAAATTTTTTTGTCTTCATAGTCACCTTACGCACAACTAGAAGCAAAAGAACTTACATACACATATAAACAGTTAACAGAGTCCCATTTCAGAAAAAAGAACGGGGAAAAACAGTTATGCTCAAACATTTTTAACAAACAAGAATTCTCTAAGCATTAATCCTAACATTGTTAAATATCTAAAAGAAACAATTTAACTACAAAAGAATAGACAAACTATCAAAATAACAAATTAATCAAATTATTTTTCATTACTATTTTGATCATGCTCGTGTTTTTCATCGAAAAGGACGAATACGATCAAGAAAGAAATCTTTGCAATGTTGCCAGGAAAGAGACAAGAAGAAGAGCTAAGTTTGATGCAAAACTGCTGCCATCGGAAATAATGAAGTTGGCGTGGACAACACGTTTGTTAATGTTCATTGTAGGCCGGTAGTTATCCATCAGTGGAATGTTCTTGCTCGTTTTGGGGTCAACGTCAGACGAATACAGAAGGCGGAATTGGTTCAACTGTGGATGATGATAAAAAGGTAATGGTAATCGAAAGCTATCTAAATTATTCATACGGGTGACACACATCAGGCAATTCGACGACCCAATAATGCTGTCTACTTGTGTTTTAGCAGACATAAATTTAGCAATGCTTTACGTTTGCCTGACACACCTTCACACTGCAGCCGAGACACCAATGTGTCCTAAAACAGTTTAGAAAGTTCGTCTACTCCTTCTTTTGATAGAATATAATCCATTCTTTTAGGATTTAGTAGTCATATCTGCCAAACCTTTCCGTCTCATGCACTTTGAATCAATTCTGACACCAAAGATCTACCACTGTTTTGTCATGATGGGCTGTAGACAAAGGCACTATAAGGTAACGTTTCCAGAAAATGAGGCGGAGGTAGACTTCTACGACAGTGAATACAAGACATTGAAGATACATTGGCTATGAAAGCACATAGAGCTGAAGAAATGGACAGAGAAAAATGAATTTCATGCATGTGAGAGTCCGACTCGTAATTCCAACGTACCGCGATCGAAACCCACTGCTGGCTGCGTGGATTTGTATCATGGTATGGGGTGTCGCAGGTCGACCTAGCCTATAATGGGTACCAGGATAGCTGTCCTGGGGAAGTAAAGACGGCCGGCGTAATACAGACCATATTACCCACCAAGTGCCGATGGTCTGTACAAATCAGGGCGCTCTTCGCATATACCCGTTACGCTTAAAGGCATGAAAAGGGATCTTTATCTTTTATGTATAAAACAATGGACCGACAAAAAAAATATTTTTTCTTAAATGTTTGTTGTATTCTAGACACAACGTTATGTGCAATAAGTTTATAATTGTTGCTGTGTTTGTTATTCAGCCTATGCTTGGTTAATATAGATTTATGTAACCTATGGTGCCATTTCAATGGTTTAAGATAAATTATGCCCGTATTCCATAATTGTGGATTTCAAACTCTACCATAGACATGGCCAGTTTTTTTTAAGGGGTGCCTAGCTGGCCATGTTATTAGTACACTTGTTTCCATAGCGAGGCGCACACGCTGTTGAGGTGACAGGTTCGATTGCCAGCACAGTAACTATAGCTTTCGACTGGTATATTGTCTGGTGTATCCTTCCACCTTTCTGCTTCTTTCTGTGATTGTCGATCAATACGTTGTCAGTTTGTTTATTACAAATGTAAAGAACTTGCTTACTGATTGGTGATGATAATCATGCAGACGTGGTATTGGCATGTTAATCTACAACTTCTCTGTCACGTGTATTCTTCATCTACAAGCTATGTTACCAAACTACTTAACATCTCTATTGGTTTCTTGTTAGCTCTTTTCCTTATTTTACATGCCACGGTATACTTTGGTTGCCCCCTTTCTCGTGATAAGCTAACGCAGAGGCAGAAGAATGCTAGTGCAGAACGATCTCAGGGCTGAAGAAATGATATTTATACCATAAAAGCAACGAATCCTGACAGCCTTTTACGTATGATCCTCTATTCCGATTTACTAGGGTTGTTTGGGGAGGGGGGAGGAGGGGTGGGGAAGGGGAAGAGAAAGGGGGGGGGGGGGACTGCGTCTCCAACAAAATTAGTGTCAGCGTTACCTCCCCCCACCACCAAGCCCTCATATAGGTACCGGATAGGAAAAGAAAACGGGAAGACCAAGAGAGACTCTGTGTAGAACTATCATCAAGGAAAGCTCAACCATGGGCCTAATGAACATCCAAGACCTAAAACAGGTGGCAACGAACCGCCAGACATACAGAGCTATGACCCCTGCTCTATGCGCCGCCCTAGGCTCAAGAGGAAAGACTAACTAGGAAAGACTCATCATCAGGTGCCTTGCCGACTGGCGTGGTCGATCATGCCTCTCTACAATCTCCTGCAGCATGTATTTGTTCGTGTGCCGACACACCTCCATGACATGCAACAAGACTGTTAAGAACCTTTTCTCGTTGTCTTCCTCTATCTCTCCTTTCACAGATTTTTCCAGTGGTCACAACATGTTCTATTTTCCCCTCTTATAACATGGCCGAAAAATGATGACTGTCTGTGATAAGTTGTCTTCGGGCTCCCGCCTCTTTCAAAACCTCTTGGTTGCTCTTTTTGGCTGTCCGCGGTATTCTAAGCATTCTTCTATAAAACGACATTTATGAGGCCTCAAGAAATTGTTTGGCCTGCCTACCGATTGTCCAGGATTCACTGCCATATATTAAAACTGGATGTATGTAGCAAGCAAGGAAAGATTAACTAACTAATTAAAATTATGTACAAAAAATGTCTTTAAAATATTTCAAGTATTTCAAGTCAACTGCAGTTGTGTGTGGTTCATCACATAAATAATAGTAGTAATAACAGACAGACAGATCAAAGTTCCCAGGTTTGACCGGTTGTCCTTCCGATGGAATGAAAGCCATATGGAACTATTGAAGACAAGGTGACGTTCAACCCCACTAGGACCGTACAACCTGCGATCAACACCCGGTGACACAAAGTGTCACTATTCGGGTGAGAATCACCCGGGTACAAGTCACAGAAATCTCGTTCAACCTGGAAGACATGCATCGCACCACAGACTTTATAGAATTGTGTGGTCTTATCTGAAAAAGCCCTGGCAGAGAGAACGAAAGGAGGAAGAAGACACAGACAACCAACCAACCAACCAATCAACCAACCAACGAAAACAACAATAATAATGAATATACGCCTCGGTTCACTTTTTGCCAAGAAAATGTATAAGGTACTAATGTCTCCTCTAATTTTTCAATGTGTGGTACGCCTGAATGCTTAGACTATCAATCAGGTGCCGTCTCCACAGTGAAAGTTGGGTCCAGCATGCCCTGTCTCTTGTCGATGTTGCACACTATCGCGTCCGGCTTGCAAGCTCAGTTTGTTAAACCTGACTGCGCGGCGACCGGGTGACAAACTCCGTGTGTTCCTTTTTCACATCGGGGGCAGGCAGAAAAGTCACATATCTCCCAGATTTACGGTATCTTATCATGGAATGAGGACCGAAGGGTTGCGATATGAATAGTACTGGGCCAAAGGGTTGACAACCATGGTTTCTTTCCACTTGTATCGGTGCCCACCTCTTGCTCTCTTGCCTTTGACCTTTCCTTCCAGTATGGTTTTTAAACGTATGTTATGTCTAATAATGTGGTCAAAATATTTTAATTGTCTTTTTTTTTTTTCAAATGTCTTTCAGCAATTCTCTTTTCATGAATGCTATACACGCTTTAAAATACAATTTGGCAAAGCTGTGAGGAGTGACTATCGCCTATAAAAATCTAGTTTGGCCAATAAATAGGACGATTTTTATGATGATAATGATGATGATGATAAAAGTATATATTAATTTGATCCCACACACCTGTATTTCTGAGATCTTGATGGTGTTGCGGAAGACCGACCAGGTGACAGACTCATAGCATGCAGGGGTGGTCAGACTCCCTTCATACCGGTAGAACTCTCCCATTTCTGGAGGTAGGAGTTTGGCCACAGGAATAGCTTCAATATTAGCCTTGGTGTCTGTTAATAATAATAAAAATAAGGTATTACTAATTGGCTGTTTCACAAAAGAATGCAGCTATACGATGGAACTTAAAAAAAAAAAAAAACAACAACGGCATAGCTTATGAAAGCAATATGACTCATAATTTGTGCATTCCAAATTGTGAAATTTAAAGAGTGAAATGAAACTGTTCAAATCACACACAAAAACACATTCAGCCAATCAAATGACAATTCTTCTGCATCAGGGTTGTTGATAGTTACTTGGCGTAAGGGTTTTCACGTCAACTAATACTTGGCGTACGGGTTTTCGGGTCAACTAATACTTGGCGTACGGGTTTTCACGTCAACTAATACTTGGCGCACGGGTTTTCACGTCAACTAATAAACACAATATCTGATAACTAGGCGTTATGCAGAAACACGCCATAAGATAAGCAGGCGTTTTTTTTCCCCTCTCTTAAAATTTGGCAAACGTTTGGCAAACGAATTAGGAAACAGAAATACTGTGAACTCCGCGAAGACCAGGCCCAAGCCAGGTCAAATAAGGAGGAGGGTCTGACAGAATTTCAGTGTTTCAGGTGTCTAGAAGCCAGGATTGAAAAAAAAAAATAGGGTCTGGTATGACCTGAGTGTTTCAGGTGTCCAGAAGCCAGGATTTAAACAAAAAATAGGGTCTGGTAGGACCTGAGTGTTTCAGGTGTCTTGAAGCGAGGATTAAAAAAAAAAAAAATAGGGTCTGGTAGGACCTGAGTGTTTCGGGCGTCTGGCAGCAAAAAAAAAAAAAAAAGGTGGGTCCGGCTGAACCTGAGTGCTTCAGGCGTCTGGAAGCCAGGTTGAAGAAAGAGGAGTTTCTGGCTAAACCTGAGTGCTTTAGGCGTCTGGAAGCCAGGTTCAAGAAAGTAGTTTCTGGTCAAACCTGAGTGCTTTAGGCGTCTGGAAGCCAAGTTGAAGAAAGAGGAGTTTCTGACTAAACCTGAGTGCTTCAGGCGTCTGGAAGCCAGGTTGAAGAAAGGAGTTTCTGGCCAAACCTGAGTGTTTCAGGCGTCTGGAAGCCAGGTTGAAGAAAGAGGAGTTTTTTGGCTAAACCTGAGTGCTTCAGTCGTCTGGAAGCCAGGTTGAAGAAAGGAGTTTCTGGCTAAACCTGAATGCTTCAGGCGTCTGGAAGCTAGGTTGAAGAATGCTTCAGGTTCTTTAAAGTCTTCTTCAAAAGACAAAATGCAAGTGCTTTCAGACCACCATCGGTTTAGTGTAGGTTGTAGGTAAATGAAGAATCATGATGTGAAAGAACCATAATGGCAGTTGAACTCGGAAGGACTTTGTGGGTCGGCCAATGTACACATCTCTAAATCGTCTTCATTCTCCTTTCTGTTAGGTTTCAGAAGAGAAGGGTCCTTCTCTGATCCATACATTTTGGTTTCCCCCGGAGTGCCAACTGACCAGACCGAACATCTCTTAAATGTATGTAAGGAGCAAATCTGCAGCACATATTCAGTATTCTTCTTCTTCTTTTCATTTATCCGCGTGACCTAATTATGTTGTGCCTGTTTACAGCAAACTGCGATAAATGCGCCTTTCGGCCGATACATCCGACTTCTTCGAACACTGGCTGACTGGGTCAACTTCCCGGTGTTGATCTGTATTCTAGAGTTGTATGATCACAAGTGTTAAAGCATGAGAACAAAACACTTGAGAAAACCATATGTGCAGCTTCAGTGGTTGTTGAACAGAGTTCTTCTGTGTTTGGCCTTAGAGAGCAGTTGCCGCATTGTGATATGGTGTACAGCTACATTAAAACATCTGCGCCTCCCGACCCACCACACCTAATTTCTACTGTTACGACATGCTTGTTAGATTACCCTGCGCCAGGTCATCCAATGGGTCCACAGAACCCCCACGAAGAGTTTGACATAATCATCTTTGTCTTATTGCGCTATTATATATCAGATAGGACTCGCATTCTAATCATTCATTCTGTTTTAAACTTAGCAGTCAGCCTAATATCATGGATGGAATCAGCCCAGCAGCTTTGACCTCTCCTATCAATGTTCATTTTGAAACTATAACACACACAACAGACAGGATCTCTTACTTGGAGAGCGGATCTCATTGAGTTTCTTCACAAAGACATCATACACTGGATTTGATTCTTTTGTCAGCTGAAAAAGAAATGCAAGTTCTTGGTGTATCTGGTTTTAGTGTTTTCAGATCTATAGGATTGTGACTCTACCACACGATTGTCAAACTTACCCTACACCTCTCAGTTGTAACTGTAATCTACACCTCTCAGTTGTTACTGTAATCTACACCACTCAGTTGTTACTGTAATCTACACCACTCAGTTGTTACTGTAATCTACACCACTCAGTTGTTACTGTAATCTACACCACTCAGTTGTTACTGTAATCTACACCACTCAGTTGTTACTGTAATCTACACCACTCAGTTGTTACTGTAATCTACACCACACAATTGTTACTGTAATCTACACCACACAATTGTTACTGTAATCTACACCACACAATTGTTACTGTAATCTACACCACACAATTGTTACTGTAATCTACACCACACAATTGTTACTGTAATCTACACCACACAATTGTTACTGTAATCTACACCACACAATTGTTACTGTAACCTGCACCACACAATTGTTACTGTAACCTGCACCACACAATTGTTACTGTAACCTGCACCACACAATTGTTACTGTAACCTGCACCACACAATTGTTACTGTAACCTGCACCACACAATTGTTACTGTAACCTGCACCACACAATTGTTACTGTAACCTGCACCACACAATTGTTACTGTAACCTGCACCACACAATTGTTACTGTAATCTACACCACACAATTGTTACTGTAATCTACACCACACAATTGTTACTGTAATCTACACCACACAATTGTTACTGTAATCTACACCACACAATTGTTACTGTAATCTACACCACACAATTGTTATTCACCACACAATTGTTAAGCTTACTCTACACCTCTCAGTTGTTATTGTAACTCTACACCACACAATGGTTACACTTCTACACCACACACACTTGCTACTTTTCACCACACACACTTGCTACTTTTCACCACACACACTTGCTACTTTTCACCACACACACTTGCTACTTTTCACCACACACACTTGCTACTTTTCACCACACACACTTGCTACTGTACACCACACTATGGTTACTGTACACCACACTATGGTTACTGTACACCACACTATGGTTACTGTACACCACACTATGGTTACTGTACACCACACTATGGTTACTGTACACCACACTATGGTTACTGTACACCACACTATGGTTACTGTACACCACACTATGGTTACTGTACACCACACAATGGTTACTGTACACCACACTATGGTTACTGTACACCACACTATGGTTACTGTACACCACACTATGGTTACTGTACACCACACTATGGTTACTGTACACCACACTATGGTTACTGTACACCACACTATGGTTACTGTACACCACACTATGGTTACTGTACACCACACTATGGTTACTGTACACCACACTATGGTTACTGTACACCACACAATGGTTACTGTACACCACACAATGGTTACTGTACACCACACAATGGTTACTGTACACCACACAATGGTTACTGTACACCACACAATCGTTTTTTACACCACACAATTGTTACTTTACACCACACTATTGTTACTTTACACCACTTAATTATTACTTTAATTTCACAACTATTTTAATTATGAGTGCCACTACACATTTCATGAAGGACACACACACACACACACACACACACACACACACACACACACACACACTTATCTGTAACAAATGGAGAACTCACCTCATACATAAATCCAAGAACAGCTAAACCATTTGACTTGGAGGCAGCAGTTGTGAGGTCTGGGTAGATAGTGTTGTAGTGTACAATATGGACCTGTGGCAGAAATATGTAACAAACATTTGCTGGTCAAATATTGCACAATTGTAACTATCGATGGACCGAGAAATCAACATCAAGATAGGTAAGGCAGCAACAACAATGAGCAGATTTAGAAATAAAAGTGTTTGGGAGAACACAAAGCTCACGATTAAAACAGTCCATAAGAATTTCCTCTTTAATGAAATAGGCAGAAGATGTTGAGGCCGACCTCTACTACGATATAAAGAATGTGTGCAAAGGGCTATAAATCATTAAGTATTGCGTAGAATTCGTGGACAGTAAATTTGACCCCACCAGGACATCATACAGAGCGATAAACACCCTGTGACACAAAGTGCCACCATGCGGATGAGGATCACCTGTGGGGATGCCTGGAAACTCAGTTCCGTCTTTAGGTTACATTGCGGCAACGGGAACTATCTAGGGGAAAAAAAAGGGGGGGGGGTGGGGCTTAAAAAAAAAACGAAAAATTGCAGCCCACAAGGGGAATGACAAAGATCGATAAACGATCGTAGGAACAAAATGCCATGGGCAATGTTAATTGGAGGAGGCAAATCTGCTTGCTGGATTCAGAAAAAGCATTGAGAACAGCTAAATCATTTACTAATAAACTAAAAACATTTATTAATCATACCTGGACAGAGTGTATGGAAGTAAACTACAACTGAATCGTGCTTCTGAGAAAGTATATACTTTCTGATAAAACGTAAAACGTGAATAAAAACACAGGCACAGGACCACGAAAGGAAAACCAAGGTATTCACGACATGGAGGTGACAGCCATTAAATCTAGCCGCTCCAGGGACAGAGTTCACAAGTCTCTCGAAAATTGCTTTATATACACTTTCGGAACTCTGGCGCCCAGTGGACTAAGCTGCCAACACAGCTTCCTCTTAATCCTAGGGGGCTGAACTGCCTACACAGATTCATCTTTTTCTTGAGTGACCGCCCCTGGCATATTCCCGGATATTTATTTTCCCGGCCCCACGTGCCTAGCCAGACTGTTGTCTTCACATCGAAGATAAGTGATATTGAGTATGTTTGTAATACTTTTTAATCTATGTATGTGCCGAAAAAGTTCCACAGCCGCAAAGTTCACGTTTTGTTTGGGTTTGTTATACCGTGAAGCTCGCTAATATACTTTTCGTTTGATTTGATATTTTCACGAAATACGTTGAGATAAGAATGTAAACTAGCATTTTCCAGCACTTGAACCACAGACACGAAGACCAAGAAATTACAAGAAAGATATACAAGGTGGTGTTCAGAAAGTAATACACCAAATGGCTCCCCCCCCCCCCCCCCCCCTCTTCATCTCCCACCCCAGGAGCTATTCACAAATTATAAACTTTAAAATAATAGTCTTAGATATATCAAGAAAGATGCGAGAGCTCAAAGATATGTTATTACAAACGTCACAAAGAGACGGTCATCACAGTGGTCGTGTTATGAGAAGAATAAAACTGTCAGATGCTATGACCCCTCGAAAGATCTGTGGAAAGAGAGGTATAGGAAGACAACGCGAGAAGATTCTTAACAGCTTTTTATCGCGGCGTGGACGGGTGTCACACGAACTGATACACGCAGTTGCCGATTGCCAGACTGTGGAAAGGTATGATAGCCCACGCCAGTGTGAAAGACGATGGTAATGATGTTGTGTAAAGATGGGTATTATTAAACATAATCCCCATTGGAAGAAGAAGAAGCATCTACTTACCTCCATTGGATAAGCTTGATTGTCGATCAAATGTTCGGAGCCGTGTTTGTTGTCCCCACCCCAATGGAAGTGCAGCTGTGCCGCCTTGTATGGGTTCTGCAGCCCGCCTCCAGAAATGTGAATGTCACCGGCAGTGATGTCAATTTGAGCTGTCAATGTCATGGAAATGGTGAAGTGAAAGATTATGAATTTAGAGAAGCAATAACTTTTGAAATGATAACTTCAAATTTATCACACGCTCTTTTTGTTTACACAAAATAGGAGAGTTCAGTTTTATTAATACGGTTTCAGACACTTTAAACAAATGTCTGTTCATTGTGTGGTAAATAATAATTTTGAAGGCACGTGCCTCTATCAACCATTCATTCAGAGTAAACAAAATGACGTCATATCAAAGAACTCTTCTTTGCTGACATTGAAACAGGATCTTCACTCAGATGTTTGTGGAGCCATCTAAGAATATCCTATATAGATGAATGGAAGTTCAACTCACCTACAATTTGCTTTTTGCAGAGGGACCTCAAGACGCTTCAGTCTTCCGGCTCCTGCCACCCCTCAACCGCCCTCTCCCCATCCTCAATCGTCAATGGTCAGGATATGCTAATCATTCACACAAAAAATTATGTTCATAGATAATTATTACCCTCTACGTGTTGGGGGGGGGGGGGAGGGGGGGGGGGGGAGTGAGATTTATTAAAATGCCTGAAAACTCTATAAAAAAATTCCAGGCAGACCTACTTTTTTAAAGTTTCCTATTAACGATTTTTTTTAAATGCTTTATAAGTCGAGGTTGTCAGGATTTTCTGTTTGCTTCAATAAATATACATTCATATCTTCAAGGCTTTTCGTTATGCCATCGCTTCAGATATTGTGTTGTCTTCTTTTTGCTCTTCTTTCACGGTATTTCTTCAGCGTGTCTGTGGCAGTTGGCCCGGAGCAGACTCGGTAGACGGCCAAATCATATCTTTGCTCCTTGATTAACTGTCCAAATTGTAATAAACCATGCAACTGTTATTATAGTATTTTATTTGCAGATATGAAGTTTACGTTTTGCATATCCTTGCTTTCTTGGTATCTTGGGGAGAGAGAGAGAGAGAGAGAGAGAGAGAGAGAGAGAGAGAGAGAGAGAGAGAGAGAGTGAGAGAGAGAGAGAGAGAGAGAGAGAGAGAGAGAGAGAGAGAAAGAAAAAAAGAGAGAAAGTGAAGAGGAGAAAGGTTTTCAGTTCAGAGGATCAACTTCAATGTACTAGGTTTGATCCTGCTAATTGCATGCCGAGAACGTCACGCAAAAGCACGAACTCCATAGCTCCAGTGACGATTCGCTAATTCAACCTGACAGTGCCTACTAGGTCTGTTTATCTCATAGGAAAGGCAAGCAAAGTAAAAGACTAATTTTTACGCCTTTAGGCGCATCAGCCATATGGGAAGAGCACCCCTATTTTTTTACAGACCGTCGGCACAAGGTGGGTAATGTGGTCAGCATTACGCCGGCCGTCTTTACTTCCCCAGAACATCCATCCTCGTACCCATTTTAGGCTGGGTCGACCTGCGACGCCCTATACCGCGATTAAAAATCCACGCAGATAGGAAAGGCAAGACAGACGTATAATCAGACTGATACTGTTGCAACTGCTGTCGGAACTCCTCTCTGGCTACTCAATGGGGACCGAGCGCAATTGAGAATGCCTGAGTGCTGTGTTGTCGGTTCTTGAATAAACTCAACTAGGTCAAACTAATTTCAGTTAGGCACCCTATGTGAGGAATGCAAAAAAAAAAATAACACACAGATGAAACTTCGGTTTATGAGGTATCACCCAGAACTACAGAAAACCAAACCTTGAGGCAAAAGAAGCAGAAGACATTCTTAGTCGAGGTTTTAGCTTCACTGCAATCGGGTCTTCCCATCTTGTTCCAGTGAAAATGAAATGAAATGACGTTTACTGTCCCGTTTACAAACCATTAGTTCCGGCACAATCTAGAAATATGCAACCGCAGTTGCTAGAGGCGCCAAAGCCAACAGTCGCCACCAGAAATACTGTTGTCATTAATAGAAGTAGTTGGGTACGATTAGTTGGCTATACCCACGTAGATTTATTACATATGATATTCTACCAGCTCAAACGTAAACCAGCTACTGGCCATATGGAATACAACGACTCAACCGCTGTACAAATGAAATGCTTTCCACTTGAAAATAAAAGCTCACAGGGCTGCACCAAGCACTAAACTCAGTAGCAGCTCGGGCAACAAAACCGTAGACTACCGTCTACATGTGGAAACTGCTTTAGGAAAGCGCTGTCGCAAGCACACAAAAGCTTCGAAGCTTAATTCCGCCATTTTTGACCAGAAGGAGAGAGTCATAAAAACTTACCTGAGTGACCGTTATTTTGTATTTCCATTTTGACATTGGTAACAGATGTATAATTATGGAAATTGAAAGGTTTGATTTCTCGATACTGGACTTTCTTGGGTTCCAGGTTGATTGGTGACTGTCGACTTGTGGGTTTGTCCTCACAGGTGGGATAGTCCTTGTACCAGTGATCTGCTCCATGTACGCCGTGGTAAGTCCAATGTGGTTTTACAGGTGCTAAAAAGGAAAAAGAAAAAAAAAATGTTGAACTTAATAATTGTCATCATCGCCACAGCCATCATTAACAACATCACCATCACTATTCACACAATCATCATCACCATCATCATCACCATCATCATCACTATTATCATCATCACTATCATCATCATCACTATCATCATCACTATCATCATCATCACTATCATCATCATCACTATCATCATCACTATCATCATCATCACTATCATCATCACTTTCATCATCACTATCACCATCATCACTGTCATCACCACCATCATTTTCATCACCACCATCATCTTCATCACCACCATCATCCTCATCATCACCATCATCCTCATCATCACCATCATCCTCATCACCACCATCATCTTCATCCCCATCCTTACCGCCATCATCATCATCTTTATCATCATCATCTTTTTCATCATTATCACCACCATCATCACCACCATCATCATCACCACAATCATTACCACCATCTCTATTTCCACCACCAACACCATTACTAAAACCACCAACACCACCATTATCATCATCATCATCACGATCATCACAATTACACTCCGACTTTGAAGGAAACCCATAAATAGTCGATTCTTACGACATGCTTGTTAGAGTCAAATAGGTCTATTCTAGGCCCTCCCTTTTTCCCCTTCCCCGAACCACATTTGAGCATCAGAGCCAACATGGGGCGGCACGTATTTACAATGCTTCTCCTCACACATTCAGCTCATTACCTTCTCTGGCGTTCAGCTCTCAATCCATCTACAGTAATGTCTCGTGTTTCAATATTCCTTTCATGATTCCACACTTCTCCCTCCCTCCATGCAAAAGCTGTCCGTTGCCTCCTATACCCATGAATTCACCTCAGTACCCTGTATCATTCATGTCCTTGCTTACATACATTTTACCTCTAGTTAGATAGTTTTCCTATTGCGCCTAGTGCGGCGCAAAGGGCAAAGGTCATAGTTCTCCATGTCTGGTGGTTCGTTGCCACCTCTTTTAGGTTTTGGATGTTCATTAGGCCCATGGTTGGGCCTTCCCTGATGATTGTTCTACGCAAGGTCTCTCCTGTTTTCTTTTTTCTCCAGGTGTTCATTGGACGGCTTGATTGGGGGGGGGGGGGGGGGGGGGGGGGTCATTCTGAGTGCATGACCGATAAGTTTGAGCGGCGCTTTCTTATAAAATCAGATACATTATCTTACTTCGTCTCCTGTCTTCTTTGCGTAATTGATCAAAAGTCTGCCCAGTGGCGATTAAGAATTCTTTTAAGACATCTGTCCTTAAAATTGTATAATTCTGTTATCTTTTACCTCTGCGGGGATAAGTAATTGTAAATGTTCAAAAAAAGAGACACTACTTTAGTCATTACTGTACTTGACTACCCAGACAGTGGTGGTATGTTATATTCTGGGGATCGTTGTGACCTGGGTCACTCCGAAACGTCCTGGCCAACGGGGCTTTGGTGAAGTTGCGACAGGCCTAGTAAGCCAGCAATGGTTTTATTAGAAGGAAAATCTTATATCTCCCTCGACACCCACAGCGGTAAAAGAGGAAGTGAAGAAGAAGAGGATCTGGGGATCGACCCAGCGTCATGAAAATGAATACAGACAGTTTCCAAAGCTGTATGGGAATTTTCTAGGAGCACGAGAGCATGCATCTCTCTTATATCTATAATGAATTAATCAAGTAACAGAAAGTGTATTGATCGGCACCTATAGAAAGAAGTAGAAAGATAGAAGAACACACTAGACAAATAAAAATCGAAAGCTATAGTTACCGTGCCGGGAATTGAACCTGTCACCTCCAGACGGCGTCTGCGCCTCGCCATGAATACAAGTGCACTAAGATACATGGTCAACTAGGCACCCCTAAAAAAATGTGTCTCATTGGCTATGTCTATCCTGATCTAAGGCATATTTTATCTCGCAGTTCATAAGGAAGAAAATAGTTTTTCTGCTAAAATGCTACAGATAGATTCTTAAATACCACATGGAAAAGAAAAGTAAAAAGGTAGGGAATTAGCTACGAACACCACATATCGGGGCTGTGAATTAGCCTGAATACTTTCTTAAACGTTCACAAGCCGTGAACTCAAGCGGAAAGCCCGGGTTGTTAATCCAGTTTTGGATTTTGACATTAGGTATCTGCTTTGCTGAAGAAAAAAAAATCGCCACGTTTAACCAGCATCCCGAAGGGGAGCTTTGGGTTATAATTGTGACTAGTTTATGTGTGCCATAAAAAATGGCTCAGCATTGCACGCCACCAAAAGCCCTGAAGATGATTTCTGCATTGTTGATGCGATCAAAAAAGACAAATCCAGATACCGTCCCTACCCGCGTCGAAGTCGTCTCATGGCGAGCAATTGTGTAATCTGGTCGCTGAGAGAATTTAGCTTTGTTCCTAAATTTGAGTGTTGCGTACAGATCCGTTCTACATATCCTGCTTATTTATGTTCCTTGCCTCTCAGACAGAAAGATTCAGATTTTAAAGAAAACGTTGATGCTGCTGCCTACAGTGGATTAAGTCCCCTCTAGACAACTTGCGTCTAGTAAAATGGCAGCGTCTGACATTTATTCGTTTTACTGGTTGTTGTGAACAATTATTTAGTTGCTTTTGTTTTAACTACAAACTTATTCTAACTTTGGTCTGAATCAAACAGCTCTGAGGCTTAGATTTTGCGCTGGTCTGAACACTATTTTAACAGATCAAATTGTTTCGAATAACTCGAAAGTATAGCTTTACAGTACTGATATAAATATAAATTATACTTTCTGATAAAATTATTCTAAGGTTAGTTGCGTATCCTTTACAGGACGTTGCAGAGCCAACCTCAACAGCCCCTGGCTGTTGTGGGGTTTTTCTAAGCAAATTCACGTCCAGTAGTTTGCCATTGCTTTCTGGACGGTCATCTTTCTTGATACCTCTGTCGAAACCAACGCATGGCCCGCAGCTGAGATCGAATCCCGCATCCCGGCATTACGAAGCGTTCGCACCGAGTTAGCCACAGAGCCGACAAAACTATTCTAAACTGCTCTGAAATTTAGAATTAGTATGTCTATGTGTGGTTTCTATGACCCAGTTTTGACCGGGAAAAAGACCCACTGGCTCATTACAAGAATATCGCCAAAAACGCCATTTAATAATTCCTTCTAAAGCTGATCACATCTGCCTGAGAGGCAAGGAAACAACAGGCTGCATACGGATATACTAGATCTGTAAAACAGACAAGCATGCAAAATGCATGTTCTAGAAAAAAGATCGCAAATCTAAAAGCAGACGAACATCAGAACATTCCACAGCTTCATTTGCTTTGTCTAAAAAACAACGTCAGATTAAACCAGCGTCCCTGAATGAGAGCTTTAGGTTATAATTGCGACTAGGTTCTGTGCGTCATATAAATTGGCTTAGCATTGCACGCTCTCAAAAGCCATGGAAAGGACTGCTGCAGTATTGATGCGATCGAAGGAAACCGACCTTAAAACTGTCCCGACAGGCGACGAAGTCGTCTACCGGCGGAAAATGGACGACCCGGTCGCCGATGCATTCCGCCGGAGTTTACAGTCAATGAGAGCTTAGGAGATCTGAGATGCGTACACATTATACTTACCAATGAAATTATTCCGAACGACCCTGAAGTTTAGATTTTGTACTGGTCTGAAGTTGTCCATTAGCCTAACACCTGATGCAGCCTCCTCTGATGACTTTAGGCTTCTGAAGGCAGCCAGCTGTGAATGTTTGTACAAGTTAGTTAACAGGTCATCTCTAACGCACATCAAACCCTACAGTTGGTAAGTACTCTGATCCCATCTGAAAATCCCACAGTATATAGCTGATCACTCCAGGTCCGTGTTGGTTTTTTTTTTTCTACTTCTCTGGCTTCGAGTACAATTTTCGTTGTTTTATTATTATCCTACCCCAAACAGGGGAAATCCACAGGTCACGGGACGGTCTAATATTTCAGGGAAGTGGTAGATAGGCTGCATGCATTCGTGAGACCTAGGCTGCACTCTCACGTGGCACGTAGGGGGGCTTGGGGTAAGGGCTTGTTCTAGATGTTTTATGGTCGTTAAAAGCATCAGAAATTTGGGAAACTCAGTCCTAATCACCCTTTAAAATGTTTGACTTTCCTGTGACGTCATCTGGGGGTAGGATAATAATAAAGAACCCAGTTTACAGTTTTAACCCAACCTCTAGGTAATGGGTACTAGAGTTAACCCTCTGGGGTAAATGGGGGAACGTCGCTGTAGCTACGGAGTTTCGTGCTGACGGCGACACAGACGGACAGTTTCTCATCCGCTGTCCGTACTGGTGGCAGAGCACTTATGGTTTATAACCGTGTGCAATGGCGCTGGTTCATATCTCCCGACTTTACCTTTAACCCTCCATGGTTATGAAAGCTTTCCTTCTTTTTATTCCTAATATTATAATATTCCTCTTCTTCTTCTTCTTCACTTCCTCTTTTACCGCTGTGGGTGTCGAGGGAGATATAAGGTTCTGTTTCTAGCTCTTCTGGCTGCCTCGACCATAGGCACATCGTGCTGTTGTAGAGTTTCTCTGATGTTATCCTTCCATCTTGTTCTTGGTCTACCCCGTGCTCTACGTCCTTCTTCTCTTTCCATGTATGCTTTGTATGGTATGGTGTCACAAGGCATTCTCTCTAGGTGGGCAAACCATTTCACTTGCTGTCTTTGTATGTAATCCAGAATTGGTTCTGTGCCGACTTGTTCTCTTATGATCTCATTCCTGATCTTATCTCTTATGGTCACTCCTACAGCCCTTCTCAGACATCTCATTTCCGTGGTTACTAATTTTCTTTTATGGTTTGTTGTGAGTGACCATGTCTGGCACTGGTAGCACAGAGTTGGAATAAATATGCTTTGAATAAGATGTCTCTTTGTGCTGATTGGGATTGTCTTATGCTGTAAGAGGGGGGCTAGCTGTCCCAATACTTGGTTTGCTTTACTGCATCTAATGTCAATTTCTGTATCCAATTTCCCATCTTCGGTAAATGTAGTTCCCAGATATTTAAACTCAGATGCCTGTTTAATGCCTTTGTATTCTATTGCTATGTTTAGATCTGTCTTCTTTTTTCCTATTGACATTACTTCTGTCTTTTCAGTGTTGATTCTCATATTATTTGTTTTACATTCTTCATTCATGGATGTTAGATGTTGTTGCAATTTCATGGCTGTATCTGCTATCAAGGCCTGGTCATCTGCAAAGAGTAATTCGTTGATCTTACTAAGATCTTCATTAATGGGCTTGGCATTCTTGCATATACTGTCGATGTAGGTGATAAACAGCAGTGGTGATAAGACACACCCCTGTCTTACTCCCGATGTCATGTGAAAGGATGAGATGTTCCCTGATTTATTCTAACTACACTTCCACAATCCCTGTATAAACTTTTGCACACTTCGATGAGGTGTTCGCTTACTCCATATCTTGCCATTATTTTCCATAATAATTGTCTGTCGACTCTGTCAAATGCCTTCTCCTGGTCTACGAATGCCACAAATAAGTTCTTATTGTATTCAATGTTCTTTTCTATTAACTGTTTAAGTGTGAAGATTGCATCTGTGCAGCTTCTATTTCTCCTAAATCCCATCGTTCTTCTGCCAGCTGTGGTTCTATCACTGGTCTCAGTCTTGTTTCTATTATCTTGGCATACATTTTGCCAACATGGCTTAAAAGAGAGATGCCTCGATATTGACCGCATTTTCGTTTATAATATTCACCCTCCGTAAAAGGCGGAAAGTTGTCCATCTACTTCTGGACTTCAGGAGTTATTTCAGAAGTTAGGTTATGTGTGACAAGGTAATTTTTTTAAGAACTTCTGTTTCGCGTGCACGTGTTTGGCGTGTACATCCACTTTACAGATCCGACTTATTTACTGATTGTTAGTTTCTCGCCTCTGAAGGGAATGCTCTTCGACTTTGAAGAAAGCGCACCTAATTACTCACCTTTCACAACAGGTTCATTAGAGGCCAGAGGACACATTCTTTTTTTTTTTTTTTTCTTACTCACACTGAGGAACTGGAACCCAGAGAGGAGGAGGGGGGGGGAGGTGAAGGAGACAAATTATAACACAAATTCCCCCTTCCCACAGTTGTTTTTATTCAACACCTTTTAACCGTGAGTACTAAACGGAGATGCCCGAATGTATGAATAATCAAAGCGGCAAACCATGCGTATATTATGTTTAGAGAAGCTAAATACTGTGGACGCCAGATGTCTTTGCAATCTCAGCTGAAATAAAAAATAAAATATAAAAAAAAAAAAAAATTCACAGAAGACATAATCACACATTGTACGTTGTTCGGGAACGAAAGAGTCACTAAACAGTAAAAGACATTTGCATGCCTTTGTTACATTGGGCCTATTGTACTAGATGTATATTTTCACATGACAGGTCAGAACTCGGCGGGTGTTGTCAGCTCTAGACACTTTTACTTCCAAGGACAGTTCTTCTCCAGTCTTTTACTTCCAAGGACAGTTCTTCTCCAGTCTTTTACTTCCAAGGACAGTTCTTCTCCAGTCTTTTACTTCCAAGGACAGTTCTTCTCCAGTCTTTTACTTCCAATGACAGTTCTTCTCCAGTCTTTTACTTCCAAGGACAGTTCTTCTCCAGTCTTTTACTTCCAAGGACAGTTCTTCTCCAGTCTTTTACTTCCAAGGACAGTTCTTCTCCAGTCTTTTACTTCCAAGGATAGTTATTCTCCATTCTTTTACTTCCAAGGACAGTTCTTCTCCAGTCTTTTACTTCCAAGGACAGTTCTTCTCCAGTGTTTTACTTCCAAGGACAGTTCTTCTCCAGTCATTTTCTATCCGAGCGCTGATTGGTTTATTGTCCTCAGTGGGCATGGGAGAATTCAGCCAATGAGTGCTCGGATCCTCTCAGCAAATCTCGCAGTGGGTGGCAGCTGAAGACTATTATTTTGTTTGTTTCTTTGTTAATCTTTCATTGACTTCCTGCATAGTGATCGTGTCTGGTCACACACTTTAAACATGCTGTTCTTGCCATCTGATCATGGTCACAGTCATCACTTGGCTCTCGCAATCGTCCCACTTCTTATGAATATGGAGTTGAGTTAAGAATTGACATCACAGCACTTGGGGCATTCCCACGCGTGCTCTCTTCTCATCTTCAGCAGCCAGCGCAGAGTTCCAGTACTGATGGTACCAGTCACAATCTGGTTATATGTCAGTCTTGCCTTTCCTCTGAGTGTAGTGAGCCGACCAGACCCTCTGGTTACACCCAGGCTATAATAATCTTGTTTCTCTACTGATTAAGGTGCTTGTTCCCAAAGGGCCGTCACCACATCTGCCTTGTCCTCTTGTGGAGCATCTACTATATCAAAGGTCCATAGATGGTCCACAGATCGTCTATGACCGATTATGGACATAAAACAAAAGGACTATGATAAGATTTATGAAAGCATGATGATACTGGACATGTCACAGAAACATGTTAGTGGACATATACCAGACCATACACCCACCTGGGACCTTGATATTTTGATGGTGTCATTGAAAACTGACCAGATGACCGTTTCAAAACACCGAGGGGTTGTTAGGCTGCCAGTGTAGCGGAAGAATTTCCCCTTGTCTTGAGGAAGAATGGAATTGAGACTAAAGGGGGAAAGCTCTTTAAGGGCATCTGTAAAAAAAAAAAAAAAATCAAAATGAAAGATTCATAGAAGAAAGCAAGCAAGCAAGGTGAGAACGAAAGGTTAAAAACAATCAAATGAAAGAAAGAACAAATAAATCAATGAATAAACAAGCAAAGGAAAGATCAAATGAAAGAAAGGGAGGTAGGTAGAAAGAGAGAAAGACAGAAAGAGAGAAGGACAGAAAGACAGAAAGAGAGAAGGACAGACAGACAGAAAGAGAGAAAGACAGACAGACAGAAAGAGAGAAAGACAGACACACAGAAAGAGAGAAAGAGAGACAGACAGACAGACAGACAGACAGACAGACAGAGATAGACAGACGCAACAAGGCAGAGTGATGGACACTGTGGTTTTCGTTGGCACAGGAAGGGAGCAACTATCCGGTGACCCGTTTGCTATGAAGTTGAAACTGATTACCTGTTTTTATTTTTTTATTTTTATTATTACTGATTACATTTAACAGAAAACCTCACACACAGCCCCCCCCCCCTTTCCAACACACACACACACAAACCACAAACATGAATAATAGAGATAACTTTGCAAATGTGAGGACATGTTGTGCACCTGTTAATGGGATAAACTTTATTAGCTGTTCTTTTGCCACATAATGAGAAGAGAGAGAGAGAGAGAGAGAGAGAGAGAGAGAGACATTGGAGAACATCGTGACAACTGGATAGATCAGTGGAAAAAGGGGTAGAGGCAAACAAAGAGAGGCGATGCTAGATGGGCTAAAAAGATGGCATGTAGGGATATAATCAAGACAGCTGTTCCAGTCAACCAGAGATTGTGATCTGTGGAGACGCAGGATCGTCTACGACATTTGGCAGGGCACATGATGATGATGATGATAAGCTTTAAACAATGAACACATGGCAATGATTAAAACCTGAATCTGGAAACATCAAGAGGCAGAGGGAGACAGAAGAAGATAAACTGAAGGAGTCACCGATAGCCTAAGTCCACAGCAAACAAAGCGACCGAGCGCGCCTTAGCTCGGCTACCTATCATCTGTTAAACTGCTGTGCCTATAGACACAAAACTGCTCATCATCATCATGTGCCCTGCCAACTGGCGTAGGCGCTCGTGCGTCTCTGATAGTTCCAGTCGTCACGATGTTCTTCCATGTCTCTCTTCTCATTATGTGGTCAAAGAACAGTGTCTCTTTCTGATACATAACTGCTACTCATAAACGAAGTACGAGCAATTGTAGCTTGTGGCCTACCTGGGATTACAATATTTTTCAATTCATTAATGATGGGCGTCAGTGCTGGGTTGTCTGAAGCTGAAACCTGTTGCAAAGGAAGGTAGAGGGGGTGGGAAGGGGGTAGAAAAAAAATGTATTCAAGTAGGTATTTTTGCAATAATTATAATAATAAATTCATATCATTGGAGTTGAGAGAAAAAAAAATTATCGCCTTCTATATGCAGCCAAGTATAACATATGGCCTGAACAGTTAATAATCCTGGACAAATAATAATCCTGGTCAATCAATAATCCTAGACCATTTATAATCCTGGATAATTAATAATCCTGGACAATTAATATTCCTAGAGAATTAAAAAACACGCCAAACAATTTCTTGAACTCTCGAGATTTTGTTTTCCAGAAGAATCCTTAGAATTCATTGGAAAAACAACACGAGCAACCCAGAGATTTTGAAAGGAAAAATCCAGAGGTTTTGAAACGAGCAACCTAGAGGTTTTGAAAGGAGACACCTGGAGGTTGTGAAACGAGCAACCTAGAGGTTTTAAAACGAGCAACCCAGAGGTTTTGAAACAAACAACCCAGACGTTTCGAAAGGAACAACCCAGAGGTTTCGAAAGGAACAACCCAGAGGTTTCGAAAAGAACAACCGAGAGGTTTCGAAAGGAACAACCGAGAGGTTTTGAAAGGGACAACCCAGAGGTTTTGAAAGGAACAACCGAGAGGTTTCGAAAGGAACAACCGAGAGGTTTCGAAAGGAACAACCGAGAGGTTTCGAAAGGAACAACCCAGAGGTTTCGAAAGGAACAACCGAGAGGTTTCGAAAGGAACAACCGAGAGGTTTTGAGAGGGACAACCCAGAGGTTTTAAAAGGAACACCTGAGAGGTTTCGAAAGAAACAATCCAGAGGTTTTGAAACGAGCAACCTAGAGGTTTTGAAACGAGACACCTGGAGGATGTGAAACGAGCAACCTAGAGGTTTTAAAACGAGCAACCCAGAGGTTCTGAAACGAACAACCCAGAGGTTTCGAAAGGAACAATCCAGAGGTTTCGAAAGGAACAACCAACCCAGAGGTTTCGAAAGGAACAACCGAGAGGTTTCGAAAGGAACAACCGAGAGGTTTTGAAAGGGACAACCCAGAGGTTTTGAAAGGAACAACCGAGAGGTTTCGAAAGGAACAACCGAGAGGTTTCGAAAGGAACAACCGAGAGGTTTCGAAAGGAACAACCCAGAGGTTTCGAAAGGAACAACCGAGAGGTTTCGAAAGGAACAACCGAGAGGTTTTGAGAGGGACAACCCAGAGGTTTTAAAAGGAACACCTGAGAGGTTTTAAAAGGAACACCTGAGAGGTTTCGAAAGGAACAACCCAGAGGTTTCGAAAGGAACAACCCAGAGGTTTCAAAAGGAACAACCGAGAGGTTTCGAAAGTAACAACCCAGAGGTTTCGAAAGGAACAACCCAGAGGTTTCGAAAGGAACAACCCAGAGGTTTCGAAAGGAACAACCGGGAGATTTCGAAAGGAACAACCCAGAGGTTTCGAAAGGAACAACCTAGAGGTTTTGAAAGGAACAACCCAGCGGTTTCGAAAGGAACAACCCAGCGGTTTCGAAAGGAACAACCCAGAGGTTTCGAAAGGAACAACCCAGAGGTTTTGAAATGAACAACCGAGAGGTTTTGAAATGAACAACCCAGAGTTTTAAAACGAACAACCCAGAGTTTTGAAACGAACAACCCAGCGGTTGTGAAACGAACAACCCAGAGGGTTTGAAACGAACAACCCAGAGGTTTTGAAACGAACAACCCAGAGGTTTTGAAACGAACAACCTAGAGGTTTTGAAACGAACAACCCAGAGGTTTTGAAACGAACAGCTTAGAGGTTTTGAAACGAACAACCTAGAGGTTTTAAAACGAACAACCCAGAGGTTTTAAAAAGGGGCCAGCGGAAAAAAAGACAACTTATCACAAACATCAGTAATAGACTGTAAACATTTGGTCATGTTTTGGGAAGAATGAAAAGAACAGGTTACTACTGGAAACATCTGAGGGAAAAGATACAGAGGAAGACAATGACGATTGTTGACAGCCTTTTGTCGTGGCCTGGACGAGGGTCAGCCCACATTCAGATACACGCGGCTAAAGATCACAGATTGTGGAGAGGCATGATCGTTCCGCCCCCCCCCCCAGAAGGCAAAGCACCTGATGATGATAACGATGTCTTATTTCGTAATCTTTTTTTAAAATATAGGCGATGAGATATCTTATGAATAAAGAGGACGTAGTTAGCGCTTTGGCTCACATCGGCGTTCGGGACACCCACTGGCTCGCCACTTCGTCGCCGGTCGGGACAGTGTTAGGATTTGTCTCCTTTGATTGCATCAGCACCGGTGAAGTCCCTTTTCAGGGTTTTTGGTGATGTGCAATGCTCAGCCATTTTATATGGCGCACATACACTAGTCACAATTATAACCTAAAACTGCTGGTTGGTGCCAATTTCTTTTTTCAGCCAACCTACCTATGAGGGCTTTGGGATCAGATGGTCAGTGCAATAAAAAAAAATACAGAGTATGCAAGGTTTAGAGACATATTAAGTGGGAAGAGTGCATCGAGTCTGGATGGTTGTCAACGTGGGGAAACAATGACAGGGGGACTTCTAATCGGGTTGCCTGCCACTGACAATCAGCAGCCGCTAGACCAGAGGTTTTCAACCTTAAGGTCGCAACCCTTTTGGGGGTCGAACGACCCGTTTGGGGGTCAAACGACCCTTTCACTGTGGTGGCCTAAAAGTAAAGTAAGGTCAACGTTACTTTTCCACGCCTTTAGGCACATTGGGAATATAGAGCTAGACCTAGATTTTTTTAGACTAACTGGCACTTATTGAGTGATGTGGTCAGCATCACGCCAGCCGCCTTTACCTGCCAGGACTGCACCTGGTACCCAAGCAAGACTGGGTCGACAAGGGAGTCAATGTCTTTATTTAAGAACCGTGAGGACGCGAACCCACGACCTTCTGATCCGCAGGCGGGCTTCTAGCCGCCAACGCCACAGCGGCTTCCGGGGTCGCCTAAGACCACCTGAAAACACATATTCACTGAAGTTATTTTGAAGTAGCAACTGCATAATTTTATGGGTTTGGTCACCAGAACATGAAGAACTGTATTAAAGGGGCGCGGCATTTCGAAGGTTGAGAACCATTGCTTTCGTCGTTAGCCTGCAAATTCGAAGGACGTTACTTCCAATCTGAATGCACTAAGAGTCAATCTCTCTTTCATGGGCTGCAGGATACATACGACTGGTCGGACTGTTTAGCCGTTAAAGATTCTATATGGGCATTTCCATCTGGATTGACATCATCGATGGCCCTCATCAGACCACATGGGGAAAAAAGTCTCTCAGTATAGGTCTAAATGGTCCCAGTTTGTACCCAATATACTTGTTTTTGCAAATCAACCGCTGTCTAATTCATCTAGCCACTACATCTCAGTGGTTCCCAAAATGTGTGATTACCTCAAAGAAAAAGCCAAGAACAGCCAAACCGTCCGGAACAGAGGCGGCATCCTTCAGTTGCCCAAGCGATGTCCGGAAGTGGACAATGTGAACCTAGAACATAGAAAGAGATTGTTAACTGACACAATAATTATATTTCGTTATTATCATTGCATCATTTAGAAAAAGATGAGGGATGTATTTAAGAACTAAAGCATTGAACATTAAAATAAGTATGGGGGTCTGTACGAGCAGAATAAGTGGGTGGGTATGCACAGGCAATATTAGTGGGTGGGTATGCACGGGCAATATTAGTGGGTGGGTATGCACGGGCAATGTTAGTGGGTGGGTATGCACGGGCAATATAAGTAAGTGGGTATGCACGGGCAATATTAGTGGGTGGGTATGCACGGGCAATATAAGTGGGTGGGTATGAACAGGCAATATTAGTGGGTGGGTATGAACAGGCAATATTAGTGGGTGGGTATGAACAGGCAATATTAGTGGGTGGGTATGAACAGGCAATATTAGTGGGTGGGTATGCACGGGCAATATTAGTGGGTGGGTATGCACGGGCAATATTAGTGGGTGGGTATGAACAGGCAATATTAGTGGGTGGGTATGCACGGGCAATATTAGTGGGTGGGTATGCACAGCCAAGTCCTGTACCAGCAACATTAGTTAGTGGATCTGTACAGTCAGGGGCTGTACCAGCAACATAAGTGGGTGGATCAGTACAGCCAAGGCCTGTACCAGCATTATAAGTGGGTGGATCAGCACAGTCAGGGCCTGTACCAGTATTATAAGTGGGTGGATCAGCACAGTCAGGGCCTGTACCAGTATTATAAGTGGGTGGATCTGTACAGTCAGGGCCTGTACCAGCATTATAAGTGGGTGGGTCTGTACAGTCAGGGCCTGTACCAGCATTATAAGTGGGTGGGTCTGTACAGTCATGGCCTGTACCAGCATTATAAGTGGATGGATCTGTACAGTCATGGCCTGTACCAGCATTATAAGTGGATGGATTTGTACAGTCAGGGCCTGTACCAGCATTATAAGTGGGTGGGTCTGTACAGTCAGGGCCTGTACCAGCATTATAAGTGGGTGGGTCTGTACAGTCAGGGCCTGTACCAGCATTATAAGTGGGTGGATCTGCACAGTCAGGGCCTGTACCAGCATTATAAGTGGGTTGATCAGTACAGTCAGGGCCTTACCAGCATTCATAGATGTGTCTCTTTGAGGTACTAGTGTCAGCCTTGCACAGCGAACTTGTTGTTCAGCGTGGAGATAACAGAGGAGTTCTGATGTCTGATTTAGCTTCCATGAAAATTGTACTTTGGCCTTGGTGGTGAGGAAAATCTCTACACCAGCTTTTTAAAATTGGACAGCTCAAATGAACCGGTAATAAGATGTGGTTAAGAGTTTACAAGAGGTTCAGAGCTTTTACGAGCTTAAGAGCTCAAAAAAGCTTTAGAACTCAAAGGAGGTTCAGAGCTCATAACATTCAGAGCTCAAATGAGGGTCAGAGCTCAAATGATCTTCAAAACTCATGAGATTCGGAGCTCAAACAAGCTTTAGAACTCTGATAGGCTTCAAAACCTAGAGCTATAAAACTCAAATGGGATTCAAAATTTGCAAAAGCTTCAAAACTCGGATGAGCCTCAGAATTCAGACTAGCTCCAAACCTTGTGCGAGCTCCAAACCTTGTGCGAGCTCCAAACCTTGTGCGAGCTCCAAACCTTGTGCGAGCTCCAAACCTTGTGCGAGCTCCAAACCTTGTGCGAGCTCCAAACCTTGTGCGAGCTCCAAACCTTGTGCGAGCTCCAAACCTTGTGTGAGCTCCAAACCTTGTGCGAGCTCCAAACCTTGTGCGAGCTCCAAACCTTGTGCGAGCTCCAAACTTTGTGCGAGCTCCAAACCTTGTGCGAGCTCCAAACCTTGTGCGAGCTCCAAACCTTGTGCGAGCTTCAAAACTGAGATAAGCTTCGAAAATCACATAAGCTTCAGAACACAGATGAGCTTCAAAAATCAGCTGAGCTTTAAACTCAGATGATTTTCAAAACTCAGATGAACTTCAAAATTCAGACAAGATTCAAAACTGAGCTTTAAAACTCAGTTGAACTTCAAAACTCAGATAAGCTTTGAAGCTCAGGTGAGCTTCATAAGTCAGATGTTCTTTAGAACTCAGAAAAGCTTCAAAACAAGCTATAAAACTCAGATTCAGAGCTCAAACACACCTAAAAACTAGGATAAACTTTAAATAAAACTCCGGAGATTCAGAGCTCAAACAAGCATCAAAACTCCGATGAGCTTCAAAACTCAAATGAGGTTCAGAGCTCAAAGGAACCTTAGAGCCCGGGTGATTAAACATCAGGCTTAAGGATGACATATGTTGCCTCTTCAGAAGTCATTCAGCAGTTAACCAAAACAAAAAAAACCTACCTCCATGGGGTAGGTCCGATTGTCCATGGTATGCTCTGATCCTATCATGTCTGAAGAACCCCAGTGAAAGTGTAATTGTGCTGCTCTGTAAGTATCTGGTAGACCTGCTCCTGAAATGCTGATTTCTCCATTTGTGATATCCACTTGTGCTGTAAAAGTAACGAGGCTAGTAAAACTTATAATTCAGCTGTTTAATTTTAGTTTTCAATACTGACTAAATGCTAAAGTTGCTAAGTGATGGCAGTCGCTGTGGTGAAGCGGCTAGAATCTCGCCTGCGGATCGGAAGCTCGTTGGTTCGGGTCCTTAAGGAGCCAGACTTTCTTTTTAGATGACCTTGGCTTCTAGGTCCACCCAGCCTTTAGTGGGTACCAGGTGGGCGTGGAAACTAAAGGCGGCCGGCACAATGCAGACCACGTCCCCCAAAAAGTGCCGATTGGTCTATAAAATAAAGGTCTAGCCCTATATACCCAGTAGGACAGAAAGCGCGGAAAAGGGTCCCCTAAGTAGTTTAAATGCTGACCTTACACATAAGGTATTCATAAAAAAATGTCTAGTAACAAACAAAAATCAGTAGTATATGCAAAAGAAGGATCTAAAACACTTTGTATTAACAAACAAAAAGTAAAGGACCCTCTTCCCCGCCTTTAGGCATATAGGGCATATAGGGCTACACCTATACTTTCACTGACCAATCGGCACAAGATGGGATGATGTGGTCAGCATCACGCCGGCCGCCTTTACTTCCGGGACTGCACCCGATACCCACTCGAGGCAGGGTCGACCTGGGAGCCAAGGTTGTTTTTGAAAAAAGTGTGTCTCCGACAGGGAGCGAACCCACAACCTTGCGATCCGCGGCGAGCGTCTAGCCGCTCCGCCACGTCGACTCCCAAAACACTGTATAAAGGGTTCTTAATACAAAGTAGAGAGATTGATACGACTGTATCGAGTTTAATACAGTTTGTCTAAATCTCTCTCTCTCTCTCTCTCTCTCTCTCTCTCTCTCTCTCTCTCTCTCTCTTTCTGTGTGTGTGTGTGTGTCTATGTGTAATTTCCTCTGTGTGTGTGTCTGTGTGTGTGTGTGTGTCTGTGCAAGGGCATCTCTGTCAGTGTGTGTTTGTGTCTATGTATGAATGCATGTGTGTGTATGAGTGTGTAATCTGTGTAAAAGTTTAAATGTATGCATGTATGAGTGTTTGTATGCATGTGTATGTGTGTATGAGTGAGTGGGTAGGCGTGTGTATGAGTGTGTGTGCATGCATTTTACCACACGTGCTTTTGTGTGTGTGTTTTTTGTTGTTGATATTTGCAATATGCATTTTTTTAATATAAGCATAATATGTTTTGTTGATCAAATATAACTGCTGTATGGAAAACTGGTGTTTGGAATGGCGAAATATAAGACGGGCCTGAGAGCCCAATTTGTAACTCTTTGAAAATAAATTTCGTTCGCTTGCTCACTCGTTCGTTCTTTAGTTCTCTCTCTCTCTCTCTCTCTCTCTCTCTCTCTCTCTCTCTCTCTTTCTCTCTAGAGTAGTTGATCACACACAAGCTGAGAGTTTTCTCCCAAGGGATCACACTCTACTATTGAAGAGACGAGTTTCAAGGATGCCCTAAACACTCGCACTTACAAACCAAATCACTGAAACCAAACTTATGCCGTTCAGAGAGTAAGGAATAAACACACCTATGAACGAATAAACGAACATTATTTTTAAAGGGTTGAGTATGAACCAGATATCACGGATAGCTAGGAACTTCATCACGTCCACCGGCTGTAAACTCTGGTTGTTCGTCCACTTCTGGACTCTAATTCTGTTCCAGAACTGTGTGTTGGGTGCAGTTTTATAAATCTATGTATGCAGACTGTTGGATCTCTGCCTGTCAGGTAGATTCACCACGACTTTGAAGGAAGCCCCCAGTTAACCAACTCTCACAACATACATTTGGCTAGACAGTGGGTCTATTCTTGATTTCTATTATCGCGCCCCAGAACCCAAACAGGAAGCTTTGAACTAAAAGAGAAGATACTTAGGGACAGGAGGTGGGAATATTTACCTGTGTGGCCATTGTTCTTCAGTACCATTGTCAGATCCACGATGCTGTCATAGTTTTTGAAGCTGAAGCTTCCCATGGTCGTGTCGTACAGGCTGCTACCCACGACAATGTTCACAGGGGACTGGTTTTCCCCAGCACATTTGGAGTAGTAGTCGCCCCAGTGTTCGGCTAGGAATTACAGAGTAACATAATTTTCATTGCATGGAACATATTGAAAAACAGATAATGAGATGGTTTGGTCATTTAGTAAGAATGCAACCGGATCCGAGTGCCTATAAGGCCTTTTACAATAGAACATCGGGAAGAAAGGCCAGAGGAAGACCCAGAAAAAATGGATAGATGGAGTAGCTGAATACGGCCAGAAGATCCAGAAAACTGTCACTCAAATCACGCGAGAGGCACAAAACAAATATTTTAAACCACGACACTGGGCTGCAACCCGGTAAAAGTGAAGAAGACAATAGATAGATAATTTTCATGTGATCTAATTGCTCGTTTCTTTGTATGGTTTTTATAGAAAATGGAACGTAACAGACTAAAGCCTCAATTATGAGAATGGGGACTGAGGCAGTCTTGGCCAAAGAAGTTCATCTATAGTTTCTTGGGTAGACGATAGTGTTATACTGTGTATGCCGCAGGAATACATAGAAACCACAGCATGTAGTGTGACTCGCAAGACGTGCGCGCATTAAAACAATTCTTCCATATTGTAGAACAAAGACAGTTTGTAGATAAGATAAATATTTGGAAGCTGCGGAGATATGATTTCATAGACTAATGAGAAAAATGTTGACATAAAAAGAGGAATGAGGATTTCTTAAAAGAAACTGACTCTCGAAGAGAACTGATTGCCCTCATCAGGTTAAGACAGTCTGCATTCTTTTTCATCTGATGAGAAGGAGAAAATTGGAGTACATCGTGTGAGTAGGAATGTTGGAGGGGAGAAGAGGGAGAAGGAGAGAACATATGCTACACAGTTTGATATCATGGCATAGAGGATTATCTGTGCCAGAGCTGACTGAAGGTAAACCAGACAGAAGGTTGTGGATAGACATGGCTAAAAATGCCACACGGTATAGACTTACAGAAGAAGAACACGGATTTCAGAACCATTATGGCCATTGCATATTTTTAATGGTCTTCACAAAAAACACAGCTCTTCGCCTATCTGCAAACATTTTTTACAAGTATTTGTAATCTCCTCCCGTCTTTCTCTTTCGAGGTAACACCGTCCATTTCGTCTTGTCCGACAACTTTACTTCAATACCTGTATTAGTTGTGCCCTGCTCGCACACAGATTTTTATTCCAGTAGAGAAGGACACTGATGTTTACCTAAGTATTATTCACCACCGAGAAGGACTTTTAACTGGGTGGTCCACAGATCACTGCCAATTGTACTGTATTATTGATCTTTCGGGAGAGGGGGAGGGGGGGGGGGTGCGTGGTCTCGGGGCATAGTTCCGCCTCCAGTGCAAGAGGTTCCGAAGGGCTGGGATTTTTTCACGTGAACCTTGACTTCTAGTAATTCCCCGTGGTCTCTGGGTAGTGAGATTGGACGCCCGTGTGCATTGTTTTAGCACGTGTGGCAGTTGGAAATCGAAAAGAGTATCCTAAAGCGCTGCCCGGGCAAAAATAGGAGTTTAAAATCTACCTAAAGTATTTCAGGATCCTCGCCGGTGTTAGATAGCCTGCGGGCTGTGTTGATCTTTTTCGGGCTCAAATGAGTTACAAGAAGAACGGAGCATTTGTGGGTTTACTACCCATGTGCCATGGGGTTTACTACCCATGTGCCATGGGGTTTACTACCAATGTACCATGGGGTTTACTACCAATGTACCATGGGGTTTACTACCCATGTGCCATGGGGTTTACTACCCATGTGCCATGGGGTATACTACCAATGTACCATGGGGTTTACTACCCATGTGCCATGGGGTTTACTACCCATGTGCCATGGGGTATACTACCAATGTACCATGGGGTTTACTACCAATGTACCATGGGGTTTACTACCCATGTGCCATGGGGTTTACTACCCATGTGCCATGGGGTTCACTACCCATGTGCCATGATGTTAATCTGTTTTCAAAACCTCAACCCTATTGATCTTTCTACACTGAGCTTGTGCTCCTGGTCGGTTACGATTCCCATTTTCAACACTCTGGTCCCTGAGTAGACTCAGTTGAAACTCTGCCAGAGAGGACGTCCTTACAGGCATCTTATCGTGGTCAGCTTTGATTCAGAATAATTGTAAACCACTTCGGCCGTTAAGCATTGTCGGGAGGAAACATTTACCATTCAGTGCACGCTGGCTGCCACTGGCTACTGTGTAGACTTAGATTGTCTTTAATGGTGTCGGTCCATACTTGCACCTCCATACTCTGGCTCTTGCAGCTGATTTTCTGAGATTTAGTGCCTGCTATTTGATCTTGCGAGTCCGACTCGTAAGCCAGCATACCGCGATCGAAACCCACTGCAGGATTTTTGTCGTGGTATGGGACGTCGCAGGTCGACCCAGCCTAAAATGGGTACCAGGATGGGCTGTCCTGGGAAAGTAAAGACAGCCGGCGTAATGCTGACCACATTACCCACAGAGTGCTGATGGTCTGTAAAAATATGGGACGCTCTGCCCATATGCCCGATGCGCCGAAAGGCGTGAAAAGGGAACTTTACTTTTTTTTTTTTTTTACTTTTTTTTTTTTATTTGATCTTACTGCATTCTAATGATGTGACCAAACCACTTGATCTGCTGTGTCTCGATGAATCTAGTACAAGGTGTCGTTCCAACAATGTTTCTGATAGTATCATTTTTCACTCGATCTCGAATGTTTAGGTTGGCGGCTTTTCTCAAGCACATAATCTCACAAGTGGTATGTATGTATGTAAATTGTACCCTACCAGGATCACCCGTGGAGAGGTCTCGGAAACTGCGTTCAGCCTTTAGGCCATATTTCAGGCCCCACTCTATTTACGGCCCCCGGCAAAAGCCAGGGTAAGGTTTAAAAAAAAAATGAAAAATTGCATCCCACGAGGGGACAACTAGTAACATCACAAGTGGTGATTTTGCGTACATGGGATTAAGATAGTGTCCATGTTTGGCACTGGTAGCTTAATGTTAGACTGAATATTCGGTTTATAATCTGCCTCTCTGATTATATTCGGTCTCTCTGCACTCCTTGTTATGTCATGATATGTTAATAATGGTAAAGATTAGTATATAAATGCACTAACTTTCTGACATCCGGTTTCGTTTCTCTGTCCTTTCTGCCATCTTCCGTGATCACGCTTCCTATATATTTAAATTCCTTAACTTGATCCAGACCAAAACTATTCAGCTGTATATGTAGTGGGCCGGGGGTTCTACTAAATTGCATTGTTTCGGTTTAACTTGCATTGTTTCGGTTATGTTTGCATTGATCTTCATGTTGTATTTACTGCATGCTGAGTTTTAACCTGTTAATGTGGTCTTGCAGCCTATCTTTTCGTTGTAGAACAAGCACTGGTCGTCAGCAAATAGTAATTCGTTTAACGTAGGTGAGTCGATTACTTCATCTGATGTGTATACTTCCTCACAATTATAACCATCTATATTGTCTGTATTTGAACGTGCTTCTTTATACATTATGTCTATATAAATGTTTAAATCAGTGGGGAGAACACACACTCTGTCTCACACCTGCGTTTATTGTGATCTATCTGATAGCTTGCGTTCTTACATTGATTCAACGGTGGAAACAAACAGTGCTTCCCTGTTGCATTTTGTTTCACTGCAAATGTATCCTTTCCTCCTCTCCCCCCCCCCCCCACCTAATTATAAAAACCAATAAACAACTAGTCCTATTTGTAAATTGATCACGATGATTGGGTGAACTTACCATCAACGTGGCCATGAGCATAACTCCAGTGAATATCTGCAAATATAGTTAATATCTTTAACACATAATATAACACAGTTAAAAAAAATGTAATGATTTGAACAGACCATGACGTAAACGATGATAACAGAAAAGAGGAAACGAGGAAACAATGTGAGGGTAAAACAAAAATTATAATAACATACTATAAGTCTAACCCTATAGCCCTATATATACCCCCAGCCTCCCCCCCCTCCCTAGACAAGTCGTAAGATGGGTGTGGGTGGCGTGGGGAGGGGGTAGGGTAGTAAAGGCGTAGACCCTTTCCCCCACGATTGGTTTATTAACCTATTTGGCATCATATGCCTGGTGAACTATTGGTGTGTCAAAGATTATTCTTTCATTGTAACTTTCACATAAAGACGTTTTCATTAACAGGTCTAGGTTAGACTTTTAATTAGCAACATACCCGGATCAAACTAACTCATTTAGCAACATACCCGGATCTCTGACTAACTTATTTAGCAACATACCCAGATCAAACTAACTAATTTAGCAACGAACCCGAATCTCAGACTAATTTTTTTAGCAATGTACTAGGATCAAAATATGTTAGTTTGATCCGGATATGTAGCCAACTTATTTAGCAACATACCCGGATCAAACCTACTCATTTATCAACGAACCCGGATCTTAGACTAACTTATTTAGTAACGTACTTCAATCAAAATAGGTTAGTTTGATCTGATTATGCTGCTAAATAACTTATTTAGCAACATGGCCTGATCAAACTATCTCATTTAGCAACGCACAAGGATCAGACAACGTTTTTATTTTTTTTTATTTTAGAAAAGTACCCGACTCTAACATTTTTAGCAACGTATCCGGATCAAAAAAATTTAGTTTTATCCGAGTTTGTTGCCAACTAATTAACGTTATCAACACGTTCGGGTGAAACTAACGCATTTAGCAACGTACAAGGATAAAACTAACTTTTTTTTTTTTTAGCAAAGTACCCGACTCAAACTAACTTATTTGCAACGTGCCCAGATCAAAATAATTTAGTTTTATCCAGATATGTTGCCAACTAACTTATTTAGCAACATGTTTAGATCAAACTAACTCATTTAGCAACGTACTAGGATAAAACTAACTTATTTTGCAATGTACCCGGATCCGAAACGAACTTATTTAGCAAAGTACCCGGATCGAAATAATATAGTTTTATTCGGGTATGTTGCCAACTAACTATTTTAGCAACATGTTCCGATCAAACTATCTCATTTAGCAGCTCACAAGGATCAAACTAACTTATTTAACAAAGGACTGGACTCAGACTAACTTATTTAGCAACGTACACGGATCAAAAATAAGTTAGTTTAATCCGGGTATGTTGCTTACTATCTAACTTATTTAGCAACAGGTCCGGATCAAATTGACTCATTTAGCAACCTTCAAGGATCAAAATAATTTAGCAACGTACCCGACTCTAACCTATTTAACAATATACACGGATCCAACTTACCTGTTTAGCAACGTACCCGGATCAAAAAATTGATACAGTAAGATACCCAGAGCAACATACCAAGATCAAACATTAACTTTTCAATTAGCATACCTGGATCAAACGATTTATTTTAGAAACATACCCTGGTAAACATTCACTTTTTTAGCAGCTTCCTGGATAAAACATTAGCTTATTTGCCAATATACCTGTATCAAATATTAGGTTATTTAGCAACATAGCTAGTTACATTTATTCAATTTATTCAGTTTATTATTTACTCAGTTTATTCAACTCAACCTATTTAGCAACATCATGATCAAACATTTAAGTTTAGTAACATGCCTGGATCAAAGTTAGTTGTGACAGTTCTAGAGTTCAATGGTTGGACAGGTCTGACGTTGTCCATCAAAGCACGGTTTAGGGGATCTCTCAAATTACGAAATGCCTGAACCTGTGGATGCCAACAATTGCAAAGTATTAATCAGTTAATACAATTTACAAAGTTTAGACAATTCTAACCGTCAAAAAACACAGTGAAGAAGTGAATCCTCAGTAAATACAGCACACCAACCAGGTATCACAATCGAAAATGAAGAAATAGAAAATGTAACAGATTTAGAATACTTGGGCTCTTTTGTGAACGACAGTGGCGACTGCTCAAATGAAGTCAGAAGAAGACTTGCATTAGTAATGCAGAGATTAAATAACATGAATAACCTATGGCAAAGCACTAGTAAATTGGTTAAAGTAAAAATCTTGAGATCGTGCATTTTTCCTGTGGCAACTTATGGTTTGAGTCTTGGACTCACTCAGTCACTGAGGAAAAAGATTGGAGCTTTTGAATTAAAATGTTATAGAAACATTCTTGGAATACCATGGATGAGGAAGAGAAAAAAACAACATTCTGAACGAGTTGAACATCAAGGGAAACTGGCCCATAAACAACATCCTGTCTATGAAGTTGAAGTATTTTGGCCACATCAAGCGTCATGGTGGCTTGGAAAATACGGTGCTGGAGGGTGCAGTTTGTGGAAGCCTAGGCAGGGGTCGACCACCGCGAAGATGTATACAAATCATTGAAGATGCATTGACATTGAAAGCACATAGGGGCCGGATAGCTGGCTAGGGAAAGGGATACTTTCAGGCGTGCCGTGAAAAGAGCGACGTTCTGTAAAGGACTTGCTGATTGATAATGAAACAGTTAATTATTTATTTGGTAATATAGTGATAATAGTAATATGGGAGTTGTTAGTCTAAAAACACTTGGAGACATATGCAGGAGGAGATCAGAGCGCTTATGGTCATGTCTGATGTGCGATGAAGCTGATCTCTAGCAATTATCAATTTTGTAAAACGGACTGCCCATATTTCCCAGCCCATCGACATGCTTTCTCAGTCTGATGTAGGTCAGAGCGGTGTAACGTTATACTGCTTTCTTCGACAAGAAGTCTCTCGTGTGACCTAGGCTCAAGCTGTGGGTGGGTTAGGGCCTGTTCTAGATGTTCTGGGGTTATAGGGCTAGATCTATATTTTATAGACCAAACGGCACTCATCAATGTAATCAATTATTAAATTACAGATTACTAATACAGTAAAAGTTAATAAAGGAAGTCCAACTTTAAAAAATTTTGGTTTGGGGGGGGGGGGGGGGGGGGGGGCTGCGTGGTCTTGGGGTAGGGCATTGCTGTGCAAGTATAAAATCCCATGGCAGTTGGAAATCGAAAAGAGTAGCTCAACAGCGTTGCCCAGGCAAAAAAGTTTAAAATCTACCCAAAGTATTTTAGGATCCTCGCCGGTTCTAAAGAGCCTGGGCAGAGCTTCTTTGGACAGACTTAAGTTGGAAGAAAGAATGAGTACTTAGGGGCTACTACCCGTGTGCCGTGCCTGGATTTTTATCATGGTACGGGGCATCGCGGGTCGACCCAGCCTAAAACGAGTACAAGGATGTATGTCCTGAGGAAGTAAAGACGACCGGCGTAATGCTGACTACATTACCCACCTAGTGCCGATTGGTCTGTAAAAATATGGGTGCTCTTCCCATATGCCCGATGCGCCTAAAGGCGTGAAAGGGGATCTTTACTTTACTTCACCCGTGTTCCGTGATATCGACCCGTTTTTGAAACCACAGGACCTCGTGTATAATCTTAGCAAAAGTTACCTGTTTCTCAGAAATCTGGATTGTTTCTTTGAAAACTGTCCACGTGACGGACTCTTGACACGCAGGTGTGGTCAAGCTACCAGAGTATCGATAGAACTTCTGGAACGTCTGCGGTAGCAGGGAGTTCAACGCCACGGATTTAATGGGTACAGAATCACCTGAGTAGATATATAGGAAAAGTAAAACACATATTATAATATATTTAAACAATGAATAATGTATGCTAAAGGAGGAAATAATAAAGTGACAATTCAAAAAAAAAAAAAAAAAAAATGAGGAATTATAATATAGATAGTAACGGACTGAAGAAAATATTTTAAGCAAGACTTCAAGTAATATATTGATTAAATACAGAGCTATAATAGTTTCCAGAGTGTAAACTTGCCTTTGAGCAAGTACAGTGCCTTCCCAAGTGTACACGTGCCTTCCCAAGTGTACACGTGCCTTCACGAGCGTATAGATGCTTTTACGAGTGTACACTTGCCTTACCAAGTGTACACGTGCCTTCCCCAGTGTACACGTGCCTTTACGAGTGTATAGATGCTTTCACGAGTGTACACTTGCCTTCCCCAGTGTACACGTGCCTTTCCAAGTGTACACTAGTCATCCCGAGTGTAAAATTGCCTTCCCAACTGTGTCAACGAGCCCTCCAAACAGTGTCAACGAGCCTTCCCAACAGTGTCAACAAGCCTTGCCAACAGTGTCAACGAGCTTTCCAAATAGGGTCAACTTGACTTCCCAATGTTTGAACTCGCCTTTCTGGGGAAACATGCCTTCCTGAGTATTTATTTGCCTTCGCAAAGTGTGAACTTGTCTTCACAAAGTGTAAACTTGTCTTTACAAAATGTAAACTTGTCTTCACGAAGTGTAAACTTGCATTCACAAAGTGTAAAATTGCATTTACAAAGTGTAAACTTGCATTCACAAAGTGTAAAATTGCATTCACAAAGTGTAAACTTGCTTTCGCAAAGTTTAAACTTACTTTGGCAAAGTTTAAACTTGTCTTCCTAAAAAGTAAACTTGCCTTCGCAAAGTGTAAACTTGCCTTCGCAAAGTTTAAACTTGTCTTCGCAAAGTGTAAACTTGCCTTCACAAAGTTTAAACTTGTCTTCACAAAGTGTAAACTTGCCTTCACAAAGATTAAACTTGCTTTCACAAAGTATAAACTTGACTTCGCAAAAAGTAAACTTGCCTTGGCAAAGTGTAAACTTGTCTTCGAAACGTTGAAACTTGCCTTCACAACGTGTAAACTTGCCTTCGCAAAGTTAAAACTTGTCTTCACAAAGTGTAAACTTGCCTTCGCAAAGTTTAAACTTGTCTTCACAAAGTATAAACTCGCCGTCCTGAGTGTAAACTCGCTTTACTGAATGTATACTTGCCCTCCTGAGTGTAAACTCGCCTTCACAAAGTGTAAACTCGCCTTCACAAAGTGTAAACTCGCTTTCCTGAGTATAAACTTGCCTTCCTGAGTGTAAACTCGCCCATCTTAGTGTAAGCTTGACTTCACAATGTGCACAATTGCTTTCTCGAGTGTGAACTTGCTTTCCGAATGTGTAAATTTGCTTTCCTGATAGTGAACTTGCTTTCCTAATGTGCACACTTGCCTTTTTGAGAGTGAAATTGCTTTCACAATGTCTAACCTTGCCTTCCCGAGAGGAAATTTGCCTTACCGAATTTAATCTTGTTTTCCCGATTGCAAACTTACCGCATTAACTTGGCCTTCCCACACATCAACTTACTTTTCCCTTTTCAATTCTTCACACTTTACCTTCTACAGTAAAATCACTATAAAACAAAAAAGTTAATGTAAATTCTAAACTTTCTACAAACCTGAGGTACTGACACTGGGCAAGTTGTCGACAATTGCTGAATAGTTCTGGTTGAATTCTGACACCTGTTAATAAGGATAAAAGTTTTCTGAGGCTGGGTATAACACATTTATAATCATACCGACAAATAGGACTTATCTAAACAAATTCTGGTGAGAAATGCAAATAACAATCAACAATTATAACTACAATAATTAGTTTCCAATCTGAATGTTGTAAACGTGTTAATTACAACAAAAATGACAACAAATATGTTCGTCGTCTTCTTTTTTCCGTTCACCGGCTGTAAACTCTAACGAGAAGATCTGGTTGGTTTCTAATTCTAGACTTTTGTCTTGTTTCATAACATGAGCTTTGCGTGCACATCCGTTTTACAAATCTGGCGGTTTTTTACATGCAGATTGTTGGTTTCTTGCCTCTCAACCAGATGCTCTAGACTTCAAAGGAAACAACCTTAATTAGACAAATTATACAATGCGCTTGTTCAACCTCACTAGGACATCACAGTGTGCGATAAACACATAATGACACAAAGTGCCATCATTTGGATGAGGATCACACTGAAACAGGTCCCAAAACCAATTCCAACTTAAAATTCCTTTCAAAAAAAAAAAAAAAAAACTAAGCTATGTTCAGCCTGCTGCAAGCTAGCCGAAGCTGCCGTCAGTCCCCGGCTATATTTGTGGTCTTGTTTATTTGCGCCACTTTCGTGGCTAAAGTTGTCGTTCAACCCGCAGGTGGGGTTATATTAGTACCCCGGCAACCGTCAGGGTAAGGCTTTAAAATCTCGCGCGGAATTCGCAAGTGGTACGGTCCAGTCTTAGATTTTACACGTCATCGGAACGTAGAAAAAAAAAAAAAAACAAAGAAAGACGGCTGAGACAGCAATCCAATGGACACCACAGGGACAGTGAGGAAGCGGCAGGCACAGAGGCACTTGGAGGTGAACCCTTGAGACTGAACCCAAGGCTACGTGAAGGACAAAACTGGAGATGGACAGGATGGCTTAGTATCGAACTGAGTGGCGACAGTTCGTCTCTGCCTTATGTGTCTCTGGGCGTGATGAGGATTGATTGATTGATTGATTTATTGATTGACAGTCTAGTCTGCGTCTCTGGCCTAAAAAATATCTGGCTTGATTCAGCTGCAGACAATCTTGCAGCAGACCGCTAATGGCTGATTTCACAAATCTTCTCCAATCTTTCTGTCATAAAACTTTTATCAGGATGCCTGTAGCCTGTATAAAAGGTATCGTGCAGTCCATATTCCCTCTTGTACTATAGTTTTGTATTTCACCAATGGTACAGAATATCAACCCTTCAGTTGGTAATGGCAAACTACTAAAGATAAAATTACCTAGCAAATTCAGAAACAGTCGACAAATGATGAAGTTGGTTTGAACAGTCCGGTAAAGAATGTGCAACTAACTAACAGTCGGACAATTTCCGTGGATTCACGAAGTGTGACAATCTTTCCATCGCTTGAAGTTCTTGATGATCATTGACGATAACTGTAACATCATCATCATCACTAATCAGCAGGTCAATTACAGAACGTCGCTCTCGCCTGAAAGTCTCTTTCTCCAGCCAATTCTTCAGCCTTGTGTACCTTTCATGGCCAATAAATCTCTAATGTCTTGTATCTACCTTCGCAGAGGTCTACTACCACCCCCCCCCCCCCACTGTTCTCGAGTAGCCAAAGACGAATAATAAACCAACACAGAGCTGGTGTTATCTGTCGCTACAGGCTGGGGGATGTACGAAAGATGGGATCAGAACGCTTATGGATGTGTTTGATGTGCAATGAGAATAATCTATCGATTAGCTAGCCAATCAACCAACTAACCAACTAACCAACCAACCAACCAACAAACTAACCAGTTGTTCTCTCTAGGTCAACTTGACCTTTGACATAGCAACACGGTCTATAGCATAGTGTTGCCACGAATATGTCCTAAGATCTGTATCATATATGTCCGCTAGCACACATATTTATATCGAGGTAGCGACCAAACTCAACATCTAACCATTCTTCTTTTTTTTTTTTTTTTTTAACGTATCCAGAAACCATGAGTTGTAAACCCTTTGGCTCGGTACTATGGATATCGCAACCCTTCGGAATTGATTTCATTATAGGTACCGTTAATCTGGGAGAAATGTGGCTTTTCTGCCTACCCCCGGGAGTGAACCCGGACCACAAGGAGTTCGTCACCCGGCCGCCGCGAAAGTCAGGTTTAACCAACTTCGCTAGAGAGCCGGGCAACCATTCTTCCAAGTCCAAGTTCTTTTGGTAAAAAAAATTAAAAGGTCGACCACTTTCAGACTTCTGCTAGCTAGTCGAAGCTGCTAGCAGTCTCCGCCTATATTTGTGGTCTGGGTTATTTGCGTCACTTTCGTGACTAAATTCGAGGATTTGTGCCACTTCTGGGCTTGATTTAGACCGCTCGTCCTCCACCCTGTTGTTACTTGTGCATGTCTTTCCTCTTCTTTCTTGGTGTATCCTGTTTGTTTTGTCTTCCTTTGATTTGGCCAGACGTATCTCGTAGGAGAGCGAGCTTCCGTACACAACGTCATTTAGACCACCATTTAAAGTTTTGAGCATTTTATTTTGCCAACTGGGATGAACCATTCTTAATTCATCACAGAGGACTTCAGGGACTACTAACCTCCAAGAAAACCTATCCATCTGAAGATTTGGAGACTAATCACTGAGATAGCTGTTGTGGTGCCTACTATGTTTAATACCTCAGTGTTTGTGACATGTCTTAGCAACTAATAATATTCTTAGGCATCGCGTGTGACCGCTATTTACCCATTTTTTCCAGGTACGAATAAGTCGACCATTTTTCACTGCCACACAGAGAAGCGCCGAGCGCCAGCAATAGTCAATGTGTTATGGACATAATAAAATAGTCACGTGCGCTGTTCGTATCAGCTGTATGCTATCAGTGCCAAGCATGGACAGAGATAGAAAAACAAAGGCAAAATTACAAGTGAGATGTATAAGAAATGCGGTGGAAAAACAAGGACAGACAGTCATCCACCAAGAACTAAGAAGAACGGTAAAGATACATGATTTCAATTAACGTCAACTATTCAAATGGTTTGGTCATCCGCTCATATTGTAAACAAAATCATACACTTATTCATCAAGCAGAAGACCGAGAAAGATGGCGGGTTTTATGAGCTAGTGCTTCCATCAATACACATCCACGACCCTAATGGGTTAAGGGTTATGTTATGTTATTGGACAAAAACCAGCTAGCAACTAGAGCGTACTATTTGAGAACGGCAGGCTACACATCAAGAGGACGACCAAGAAAGACATGGGTAGAGGAAGTAACAGAAAACTGCCGGAGATCAATTTGACATTAACACAAGTTACGCAAATAACAAAGACAACTACATTTAACTCCTGTCTGCCACACTTTACAACATAAGCACTAGGATAAAATAAGAAGATGAATGAGTCAGAGATAAACTCACATTATACATAAATCCCAGAACAGCCAGACCATCTGGGTTTTGGATGGCCTCGGAAACATTTCCATATTTTGTGTTGTAGTGAACGATGTGTAGCTGAAATGGGTAAGATTGTTAATATTACAAATTTATAATAATGGAAAGTGGTCAGAGAAACAGCCACTCAGGTAAGTGATGTTATCCTTTGTCATATGCTGGAGCTCACTTCGTTTGCTCTACTTTATTCACTCTAATATTCTTTATTTGGTTTTCAATCATTTCTCACTTCACTTGTCACAGATACATTGATAAATAAGTGTTCGCTTTCTGAATTTATAGATTTTATTCTATTATCTCTTTCCCACACTCTTTCTGTTCCACACACACACACACACTCTCTCTCTCTCTCTCTCTCTCTCTCTCTCTCACTCTTTCTCTCACACACACTCTATCTCTCTCGCGATTCTTCTCTCTCGTAATTTTTTTCCCCGCTTACTTTCACTCCCTCTCTTTCTCTTATCTACTTTCCCTCTCAGGCTCTCAGTCTGTCACTCTTTCTAAAAAAAACACACATGGCTGATGCCAGTGCTGTGTGAAAGCTAGTCTACTTTCCTTATTAGACAGTAGTACTGCCTGGGAGCTAGTGTATTGTCTTATCTGGAAGTTAGTGCTAAGGGGGAGGCCACGTTAGCGCAGTCGATAGGAGACTCGCTTTCAAATCCAGCTGCGACTCGCTGCAGCCCTCCGCTGGTGTTAGAAACCGAACGGTTCCCGGGATACACTCACACTCTAAAATATAAAGTACCTAAGCCTTTTCGTTAATCTCGTTAGTCCTAGCTTAATGGATTAGTTTCTTCGTACTGCAGTCATCCATGTTTTTAATTACTTTTTGAACTCGAACGTACATTGACCTCACCCTCCTAGACAGAAAAGAACGTTCTACTGATTTCTTACCTCCATAGGATAGGCATGCGAGCTAATGAAATGTTCGGAGCCAGACTTAGAGGTGCTTCCCCAGTGAAAGTGGAATTGTAGCGCTCGAAAGACACCTGAGGGAAGCCCGCCACCTGTCACGGTCACCGGTGTTGTACCTGCTAGACTCACAACAGCTGAGGAAGAGAATGACACAAACGAGTATTTTCTTTGTTTACGATTAATGTCTGTCATGTTTTCTTTGAAGAGAGTCACCGTGGCGTAGCGGCTAGCCGCTCGCCGTCCGGATCGGAAGGTCGTGGTTTCGCTTTTTCGGAGTGACTTTGGCTCTCAGGTCGACCCAGCCTTGAGTGGGTACCAGGTGCAGTTCTGTGAAGTAAAGACGGCCGGCGTGAAGCTGACCATATTATCCATATTGTGCCGTTGGTCTATAAAATATAGGTCTAGCCCTATATTCCAAATACGCCTGAAAGATGTGGAAAAGGATCCATTATTTTTACCTAATTTTTTTATAGATGCTGTTGCTAGATACTTAAATGCTGGTACGAAGGTTTACGGGTTTAAATCGTTATCAATAAAAATGTTTTTGGCTCAGTTTAAAGTAGAAACAAAGAAATTTCGGAAGTAAAGACGGTAGACATACTATCAATAGCCGATAGGTCTAATTTTGGATATAGCACCATAAGACTCAAGCGCGGCTATAGTTATCCTTGAATTCAACTTACATATTGTAGTTAAAAACAGTTTATATAATAACTTCTTGGACTTCACCGCCTTTGAACTCTGGTAAATGGGTGGGTTCGCAGGGGTGTCGGGTATAGACGCTCGCCTGCGGATCCGAGTGTCGTGGATTCAGATCCTGACAGAGCCGGACATTTTTCAAAATTGTGCTTAGCACCCAGGTCCACCCAACTTTAATTGGGTACCGGGTGAAGTAATGGGAAGTGAAGGCGGTCGGCGTGATGTTGGTTGCATATAGTGCATTCGCTAGCTTAAAGCGAATTTACCCGCCACAACGTGAAGAAGACAAGCTAAGATAGAGGCAAATCATCGTTATCACGTAGAGGATCCTATGCAGAACGTTGCTCTGATCACAGTCTACCCGAAAGATATTCGGTCTCTCGCTCTCCCGCCTGGTGCACTTTCCAACCCAAAGTGTCACTGATATCATGTGCCCATCTTTGTGCTGGTCGGCTGCTGCTTTAATCCCTCTTGGTACCAAGCCTACTATTCTTTCAAATCGATGCTTCGATATGACTAAAATAGTTGAGTTTCTGAGACAAGATGTTTTGCATTATTTAATCTTTCTTGATGTTTAAATCTGTTAGAATGTCAGTTTTCATTTCTTTAAGGAGCAATTAGAGAGATAAACAGAACTAGACAGACATGTACACAAGAAGTCGTGAAGTCAGGCAAGCAAATACGCAGACAGACAAGGATGTAGTCAGACAGACAGACATCTAACTAGACAGGCAGCTAATGTAAATAGAGGCCAGTACATAGATATGTTTGAGCTTTTGATGTTTTGATGTTTTGAACAACGGATCAACATCATGGCACACGGATAATAACCGATAAGTGCTTCGTCCTTCTAACTCATGTCTGAGTCCAAAGAAGCTCAGCACAGTGCACAGGCTCTGTAGCACCGGCGAGGATCACGAAATACTTAGTTTAGATTTTTAACTCCAAATTTTTGCGCCGGCAGCGCCGTTAGGCTACTCCCCCCCCCCCCCAACTCCCCCCCACCCCAACTATCATTTCAAGTGCGCAACAATGCACACGGCCTCCAACCTCACAACCCAGAGACCAGTAGGAATTACTAGAAGTTAAAGTCCTTCTGAAAAAAATCCCAGCCCTTATCAGTGATTGGACCCGGAACCTCTAGCACTCGGGGTGGACACCATACTTCGAGACCATGCAGTACCCCTAGCAATTGTGAAGAGGGGCTAGTTTGTAGACACGTATGCAGCATGTATGCAGGATTTCAGGCGGGTTGAAAGACAAATAATACACGTGACTGGCACCTTACATCTTTCCCGACGATAGTGTCATAGTGTGCTAGAGAAGGGCAGAGGAATCACAGCCCACGGCGATGGCGAGTATGACTAGCAAGACGCGCCCGCGTTAAGAACAGTCTTCTACAATTAGAGCATAGGATTTCAAAACTGATGTTGCTATCACGTGTATTTGGTTTGTTGTTTTGTTCACAGTCACGCAGCTATCAAACTTTTTTACAATCATTATCCTTTATTCTATTCTTTTTTTGATGTTCACACTCCAGTCCACGACAATTTGTTTCCACGGATCTACCTCAATACGTGTATCATTCACTTCCCGCTTGACACATCTTTACGTAGTAATAGAGGCAGGCTTGTTCATACTCTACCCAACTGTAATTGTCAATAGACTATGCCCTGTGGACTATTATCCTCAATTCTCAGTTAAAAGTTAGTTGCGTATCCTTTACAGGACGTTGCTAAACTAAACTAACCTTAATATTATTTGGCTGTTGTGGCTTTTCTAGGCAAGTTTACGCCCAGTAGTTTGCCATTGCTTACTGGACGGTCGGCTTCTCGGTACCACTGTCGAAACCAGCGCAAGGCCCGCAGCTGGGATCGAACCCGGCACCCCAGCATTACGAAGCACGCTCGAAACGCCTATGCCACAGACGCCGACCCATTCTCAATAAGTGAAATAAATGAGTTTAGAACTCACTACAAGTAAACTAAAACATACGTAGACAACAATACCCTCACATGACAACGCTTACCTGCATGTCCATTATTTTTCAAAGTCATTGACACACCTGCGACAGTGTCGTAGTTTTCGAACTTAAAGGACTGGTTGGCCATGGTAGGCTCCAGCTGTACGTCTCCTTCATAGATGTTGATTGGCGATTGTTGGTCTCGACCGCAGGCAGAGAAATCTGCTTTCCACTTGGCGGGTCCTGTATCAGATCAGATGTGTTAAATGTGTTTGTATGTATGGTCAGGGACCCACGTGTAAGTTCTGGGGTCCTAGTCTGTGCGAAGAAAATACTCAGAACCCCTATTTATTCATTGGCACCTTTCCGTCTTTCCAGACGATAGTGTTATATTGCGCTATGAGGAGACATGAGACTCAAAGCCCATGGCAATGGCAAGTGTGACTAGCAAGACCCGCCCGTGTCAAGAAATGTCTTCCACAATGATAGCATGGGATTTTAAGACCATTGTTGTCAACATTTGTGTTTGTATAATCCGTTTCTCTTCAGTCGCTCAGGTTTCATCCTTTCTGCAATAATTTCTTCCTTCAGTCTCATTCCCTCCCTAACATGCCCTTTTAACACAACACAGTCCATAACCCCTATTCAAACATACAGTAAAAGGCACAAACAATCGTAGGAACCCACATGGAGGGAGGGGGGGGGGGGGGGGTTACGGTTTTACATTAGTGGCGATTCTGGCATATCATGCCACACACATATTTTTATGAACATAAGCCGCAACGTAATTTACGTTTATCATCATCATCATATAGCAGGTCCTTTGCAGAACGTCGCTCTCATCACGGTCTGTCTGATAGAAACTCGGTCTCTCGCCAGCTCTCCCGCCTCATGCACTTTCATATTCTATGAGTCACTTATATCCTGCACCCATCTTTGTGTTGGTTGGCCCCTGCCTCTCCTTCCTGGTATCATGCCTTCTGCTATAGTTTTTTTTCCAATCCGTCATGGCGCTTGATATGACCAAAACATTTCAGCTTCCGAGACCGGATGCTGTTTATTAGCTCATCTTCCTTATGTTTAGATCTTTCAAGATGTCAGTATTTCTCCTCTTTTTCGTCCAATATATTTTGAGAATCTTTCTATAGCATTTCAGCTCAAAAGCTCTTTCTTAAGGACTAGGAGATAGACCACGACTCACATCCGTATGTTGCTACAGCGAAGATGCATGCTCTAAAAATTCTAATTTTGATCTCCTTAAAGTAAAGATCCCGTTTCACGCCTTTTGGCGCATCGGGCATATGGGCAGAGCGTCCCATGTGTTTTACAGACCATTACCCACTCGGTGGGTAATGTGGTCAGCATTATTCTTGCTTTTATTATTTTGTTATTAATTTACGCTATTATCTGCAAAAGATGTGGTATGAAATACATAGTTTAGGAGAGGCATGATCGCTCACGCCAGTGGGCAAGGTATTTGACTAATTAAATATATTAGTGCAACAAAGGCTACGACAAGCTGACATGTTCAGGCAACATATTTCTGATGTCGAATGTTGAATTAAGAATCGACATCACAGCATTCGGGACGCTCCCATAAGGGATCCGTCCCTATCTTCAGTAGCAGACAAAGATTAAAATTATGATGGTACCAGTAATTGTCTGTTTGTATATCCGTCTCGCCTTTACCCTGAGTGCCGAGGGTCGGCCAGATCCTCTTGTAACTCCTAGCAGTGCCATTCTCCTCAGACCGTAACGATCTATCTACTCCTGAGCATGTTCACTCGCTCCCAAAAGACGTCCACAACATCCAGCTTGTCATACATCAGTTCACGACCAAGTGGTGCAGAACTAGCCATTCTATCCGCCTTCTCATTTTCCAACACACCGACATATCTGGAGAAAATATCCAAGGATGCTAACTACCCGGAACCTCTGAAGTGACGTTTGCCACCCTGCTGCATGGGGCATGCCTGTCTCCACCGTTCTCAACATGCTCAGTGGGTTAGATTTAACATACGGTTGTGAATCCTGGACAATTGATAAACAAGCCACAAAGGTTTCTTGGAGCCTCGGAGATGTGGTTTCATAGAAGAATCTCTTAATTCAGCCTACTGCCAAAAAATATCAAACACGGTGTTTTGAAAGAGTGAGTGCTAAACAATAACTTATCACAAACATCAGATAGAGACAGGCATCATGTTCTGGTCGTCTTTTGAGAAGAGACAAATTGGAATATATGACCACTGGAATTCTGTTTTTAAAAAAAAAAGAGAGAAAGACAACGTGAGAAGATTTTTGACATCCTGTTACGAACTAATACATGCTGTTAAAGATCTCAGATTGGGAGAGGCATGATCGCCTTTGCCAGTCGGTAAGGCACTTGATGATGATTATGATGTAGATAACTTTCATAACGAGATTGGTATTTCTCAGTGTAGGTTTGAGAAGGCACCTGTGTAATCTCTTCTGAATGACACAAAACATTAAGACTCGGTGCAGTCTAATGTCAGATTTAACAAGTATATATTTATTCGGAACAGCTGCGAAGGTTTCCGCCCAATTTCACAGCCTGAGGTAAATATTTTATTATGTGTTTTGGGCTGTTTGAAACCATTCCTTACGGATCACCGTGACATTGTGCGTGTTTCAGCTTTGCAGACATTGGAATGTGGGAGGAATGACAGTTTGTATGGCGTTAAGGTCGAGTTGGGTGGCATTTATGTTCGTGAAGTGTTAAGGCTCACGTGTACTAGATAAACTCGTTGCGGGAAATGTTATTCCATTCTGGAGCTAGTGTAACCTATTTAGATCAGGTATAAATACTATCTTGATTTATTAGAGAAAAATTATTTGGAAGCTGCATAGATGTCTGTTAATTTTTTTTGTTTTGTTTTTTTTTGTTTAACATCGTGGCACACGAGTGTAACCCATAAGTGCTCCGTCCTAAGCCTGAGTCTTCAGAATTTCAGCGCAGTGCACGAACTCCGTTGCACCGGCGAGGATCCTTAAATACTTTTGGTAGATTTTCAACTCCAAATTATTGCCCACACTTTTGCCGTTAGGCTACTATTTTCTATTTCCAACTATCAATGTATTTCATACGTGCGCAACAAAACACTCGAACTTCCGGTCTAACTACCAAAAGAAAAGGGCGAACTAAGAGAAGTCCACGTAAAAAAATTCTAGCCAACACCTGGGTTTGAACCCGGGATCTCCAGCACTCGGGGCGGATGCCATACCTCGAGACCACTCAGCATAAACAAAGGATGAGAACACCCTAGATTGATAAAAAGAGTAATGAGGATGTCTTGAAAGAAACTGACTCACGAAGAGAACGTAATTGCTAGCATCAGAAAGAAAATCTACATTCTTTGGTCATGTGATGAGAAGGAGAAAACTGGAGTACATTGTGACGGGAGGAAATCTGGAAGGGAGGAGAGGCAGATGGAGACCGAGAGAAAAGATGCTGGACAGTCTGACATCATAGCATGAAAGATCATCTGTGTCAGAGTTGATTGAAAGTACTTGAGATAGAAGACTGTGGATAGACATAACTACTATCGCCGCACACGGCATGGCATTGAAGAAGGAAGAGTTCAGATAGACGGTCTGGACGTGTTCCAAAATGCAGTGTAAAGGGCATGGAGACTTTTAATCAGAGAGCTGCGTGGTCTTGAGGTATGGTTTCCGCCTCGAGTGCTATAGGTTACGGCTTCAATCGCCGGTAAAGGCCGGAATTTTTTCACGTGGACTTGGACTTCTAGTAATTTTCCCTGGTCTCTGGGTAGTGAGATCGGACGCCCATACGCATTGCGGCGCAGGTAAAAAAAAAAATCCCTCCGCAGTTGGAAATAAAAGAGTAGCCTTACGGCGCTAACCAAGCAAAATTTGGAGTTAAAAATCTAATCAAATTATTTCAGGATCCTAGCCGGTGCTACAGAGCCTGTGCACTGTACTGAGCTTCTTCGGACTCAGACTTTAGTTAGAAAAAGAACGGAGCACTTATGGGTTACTACCCGTGTTTAATGATGATGATCCGTTGTTCAAAACCTCAAACTTAATCGTCATGCACCACCTATACGGCAACGCTTCCTTGGTTATTACGAAAAAAAGACTGATAACTCATGGGGCTCTCCCCAGTCCAAGGATCAGTCATACTTTCATTTAGAGCCAATTTCCATGACATATGGAAAAAAAAAAAGACAAAAAGAACGGGGGGGGGGGAAGGGGGGGGGGGTATACTGAACCTCTTGCTGAGGAATCATACTATCTTCTTTATTTTCATTTTTTCTTCTGAGTTTGAAAAGGTTTGCGGCACACTTCATAAACAAGATTATATGAAAATATATCAAATCAAACAAACAGCCAGCTTGACATTGTCACAACACAAACGACGAGTAAACGTTGCGGATAGACAGCCTTCCTCAGAACATTACAATTAAAATTCAATAAAACAAATACGTAAAAGGAATACGAAAAAAAAATAGTAAGTTTTAATGTATGCTTGTGTTTGTGAATCTTCTAAAAACTCGGAATACTTCTGAATTAACAACCGGGTCCTATTCACGTTTCTGGGATATCGTCACACTTTCTCTGTCTGTTCTAGGTCAGAGGGAGCCACGTTACACTGTTTTCTTCGAAAAGATTCTCTCGTGGGACCTAAACTGAGGCTGTTGGTGAGGGGGGGGGGGGTGTTTGGGTTAGAGCTAGTTCTAGATGTTCTGGAGTCGTTAAATGCTGTGTCCTCGTGTAGTATAGAACACGCGATATCGGCGCTGATGGTACTGGAGGCAAGACAACGTGACGTGACCCCTCTGAGGTAGAACCGTCTGAGAAAGCATGAACTAAAGGTCACCCAGTGTGTATATTGGCCGGGATAGGTGAACAGGACCCAAAACCGTTTGCCCGACGATCTGAAGGGTGCATTTTACGGACGTATCGTTTCACTCACAAGTGCACGGAAATCTTTGGGGATCGTCACTGGTGCTATGGAGTCATTATCTTATGTGACGCTTTAGGCAGGAAGCTAACCGTTCTAAGCACACACGAAAATTATTTTTTGTTTTATAGGAGTCACTGGGCGTAATGAAGTCGATCATCTCCATTGTGACTTTGACCAAAGTTAAAATTCTCTTTGCAATCGTTTGAGTGTTCTATGCTTCTGTGGAAATTAATGATCATCCAGGTCAATTTATAAAGCAGCTGACAGGTGACAACTTACAAAAGACAACAGATACAGACGTTGGAACACAAATCTTACCATGTTCTCCGGAGTAACTCCAATCTGAAACAGACAACAATAATTAGTGATGAGATAAATTTGCACATATACAAGTTCCTTTAAAAAACAAATTACTCCTTATCAAGCCTCGTGCATACTGGGCCATATATTGTATAGACCTATCGACACTTCGTGGATGGTGTGGTTAGCATCACGCCAGCCACCTTTACTTCCTAGGAATTTACCTGGTGACCATTTAAGCCTGGGTCGACCTGGGAGCCATGGTCATTAAAAACTAAGTCCGGGTTCATCGGGATCTAAACCCATGACCTTATGATTCACAGACGAGAGTCTAGCCGCTACACCACGGTGACTCCTAAACAAGTTTAAAGCTAACCAACATTTCCCACAAAAATTTTATCATCACAGTAACGTCACTACAAAGAATTTAATGAGGCCTCAGACGACGGCAAGTTTAGTTTGAGTGGATTACCTCCCCGGGCAGCAGCCACAAATGCCCTGTACCAATTCTAAAGGAAATATGGGTTGTGTTTCTGCCTTTCCTTTTCTTCTTCGCGTTCACCAGCTGTACACTCTGGCGGAAAGTTCTGGTTGCTCGTCCACTACTGAACTGCAGTCCTGCTCCAGAACCTGAGTGTTGCGTGTGCATCAGCTTTACAGATCTCATTCTCTTGAATACAGACTGTTGGTTCCTTGCCTCTCCGGCAGATGCACTCCGACTTCAAAGGAAGCTCCCCAATTAGTCGACTCTTACGACATGCTTTTGTGGAGGCAGTGGGTCTTTTCTTGTTTTCCCCACAATGGGGCCCCGGAACCCACACGGAGAATCCTTTCCTTTTAACACCTAACTAAGGTGGGACTCACAGAGTGCTCATTCCCGGCCACTAGATTGCCTGCTGGTTTCGCTGAGCTCTTCATGGCTCTAAGCATGGCCTTAGCATGAGTAGTTGAGGCAACTGGATCATCACGTCCTGAATCCCTGTTTTCTTTGTTTAAATGTTATCACTGAATAAGTTAATATACCTGGTATAACTAGGTATCTATCAAGGTACCACCTCTCAACAACTCGTTGTGCTTTTGACTACATGGTAAAAAGATCTTGGATTTCAGCAGTGTTGACCCTTCCAGCAACCTTTTCTTCCTCCCTGGAAAAAATTTCCCTATGCAGTTTTTGTCTGCTAAAGATGCTGAAGCTCTTGATTTGTATGTCCACAAGATAAAACTTTCAATGCCAAATTTACTTTAAAAATTCCGTTCGGATTCCAAGTTGTTTGTCTTTTGAAAAGATCGAATACCAAGGTACACTAAGGTAGTTGGGTTTTTTCCTGCTTGTTTTTTTTTTTTTTTTCAGAGCTCAGATTCACCAAGCATTATACATTATCCGTGGCACTTCGTCACAATTAAAACTGGCAGATTGTGGGTTTCATCTGACAGCTGTATGTTTGTGCAGTGACTATTTTAATCTCTTTAGATCATTTGCTAATGTTATGGCAGTGCCATAATAATAGAAAAATGGTTTAAAGTTTCAGACTTTGTTTACAACATAAAGTGTAAAATAAAAGCACCGTCTAGTCGAGCAGTAAACGCATTTCTTGGATTAGACAGTTTTTGATTTTGTTAATTGAATAATGGAGGTACAATTTTGAGGTGTGGCTGGCCGAACGATTTGGATGCTGGGCTCTCCAGAGACCCAGGTTCGAATCTTAGATAAGGTGACAGATTTTGTTTTTCACATTAGTGGGCAACCTGTAGTGTCTTTGGCGACTGTCTTGCTATGTTGCCCTAAAGGCTTACGCTCAAGACAAACCGCCCCCTCCCCTTTTCCCCAGTTGTAAACCTCCCTTAAAAGTGAAAATGGTAAATGCAGGCAGAAGTAACATATTGTGTTTTAAATTTGAGCAGAAAACAAAGAATGCAAATACAAGAACAAAGAAAATAATTAAAATGACTTCTTCTTTCTACACCTTCTGACTTCAACAGTGACTATTAAATAAGGCCGCGGCACTTCGTAGGGGCTTCATTAAACAAGCTGTAAATATGAAAATGTAAAGAACTTGTTCATGTCAGTGACGCATGAGCATATCATAGTGATGGACGACTATTTCAAATAAACAATTCCTTAGTATTATCACCATTATTTGGACATTCAAACCAGGATATTTTCTCCAGGTCTTACCGGCGTGTTGGGAAATGAGCAGGCAGGCAGACTGGCCGATTCTGCACCACATGGTGGTGAACTGATGTATAACAAGCTGGATGTTGTGAGGGCCCGTTGGGAGCGAAATGAACAGTGTCGAGGCACAGATAGATCATTACGGTCTGGCAATGCGAGGAGTTACAAAGGGATCTGGCTGATGTCCAACACTCAAGGGGGAGACAGATATGCAATCAGACATTGGTACCATCGGAATTTCAACTCTTCCCTTGCTGCTGAAGATAGGGACTGCGTGCTTATGGGGGTGTCTCGACTACTGTGATGTCGAATCCAAATTCAACATTCAAATATAACAATAAGTGCAAAGCGACGGATTATAAACAGCATATTCATTCCAGCAATAGGCTAGCAGTACCAAAGATGGACACTATCTGAAGCTCATATATGCAAAATCTCAACTTGCGAGATGAGATGACTGAGAAAAGCCGCCAACCTAACCATTCGAGATCGAGTGAATCATTATACTATCAGACAAGTTGTGGGAACGACACCTTGTACTAGATTCATCGAGAAAGAGCAGATCAAGTGGTTTGGCCATCTCGTTAGAATGCAGCAAGATCAAATACCATCACAAGCACTACATCTCCGAAAATAAGCTACAAGATCAAGAGGACTACTTAGGAATAATGGATCGACAACATTAAAGACACTATTTGCCTTCATGGCATGACAATAGTTAGTGGTCCTAAGCGTGCACAGGATCGAAAATTATTCCTCCCCACGGTGCTTAACGGCAGAAGTGGTTTCTGATGATGATGAATTACTTAGTGTTTGGGATATATGATCAACAAAGCCCTGGGTTCTGTTACTTCGCCACACAACTACTGGAAACTATTGTAAACGGGACCACATTAAGACCTAGGAAAAGGACTCTTTATATACCAAACCAAAATGGTTTCATTTTGTAAATGGGCAATGCTTCTAGAAACGAACACAACAAGTCAATACCCAAACAAAAATAGAACAGAAACGCGAATATTATCAATAACAGAAATCAACAGTAGAATAGTTATATTATGCAAATGTGACCCAAATAGAAGCTGTTTGGAAAATGAAGTTGGTACCTTCTATGGCTTCACTAGTTTATGATGACCTGTTTAACGCCCGCGAAATTCGCTACAGAACTACAAACTGGCCTCTGAATGAAATGGTCTTTCCAGAAGTACCGACCATTCTTCGTCTAACCCAAAAACAAGGGCGTCGACAAAAAGAAAACGAAAAAAAAAAGGGTGGAGCGGGAGGTGCTAAATTCCCTTATATCCTATTATAGGCTAAGAGGTGTAACCCCAGGATATTTAAACCTTATTTTAGTGCGCTATAATACCAGCAATTATTATTATTATAGCTGACTGGCAATATATATATATATATATATATATATATATATATATATATATATATATATATATATATATATATATATATATATATATATAGTAATACGAACAGTTAATTTCACTACTTAACATGACAACAGCTGTAAATAATCTGATGTGTTGAAAAAAAAAAAAGGAGAGGGTGACACTTGGCTTTATTACAAATTGTTTGTAGGGGTATTTCGGTTGTTGGGGGGCAGGGGGGGGGGGTCGTCCTCTTGATCCTACAGCTCCCGACGCCTCTGTCTAAAAATAAAAATGAGAGCACCTTGAGTGTTATTTATTTACCACGTTCCAGGCCGTACAGGAATATTGAATTGTATGGAAATGAATTTTATTGGCAAATCTGCCACACTCGTTGGCAATGCGCGGTTGTAAACAGTAGACTGTCGTGGTCTCAGAATCACTAATATTATTACATTGTTTAGCAGAAGCCGGAAAAAGGTTTCGAAAAACAAAGCCGAAAAGAGATTTCGGTAAACAAAAGAGGAAACATAGTAAAGGCTGGGATAAATAGCTGACTTGCCAGATTGAGTTTAGATGTCAGAACAAATAATCGGGTTTCATGAAACAGGTATAAATAGCACAGTTAAAAAAAAAAACTAGAAATAGCATCTGGCGTATAAAAATGAGAAAACTTTTCCAAATTTTTTTGAAAAACTTTTTTCAAGCTTCTTCATCTTCCCGGAGACGTTGACAAAGTGGGGTATAAACTGACTTGCTAATTATTTCCTGTTTTTAGCTCAAAACATTATTAGTATGTAACATTTTCAGTTTCAGATAACTATCACCCTAGGGAAAAAAAAAGACATAATATTACTGACTGAACCACTGGAGAGAAATTTGTTATCAGTAATGTCACAGATTTTTTGTAAAATAATTTTCACTAGAAGGTTTGAGGTTTTTGAACAACGGATCAACATTATGGCACACGGGTAGTAACCCATACGTGCTACATTCTTCTTCTAACTCAAGTCTGAGTCCGAAGAAGCTCAGCATAGTGCACAAGCTCTGTAGCACCGGCGAGGATCCTGAAGTACTTTGGGTAGATTTTTAACTCCACATTATGTCCGGGCAGCGCCGTTAGGCTACTCTTTTTAATTTCTTACTGTGAAGGGATTTTTTTTAACGTGCGCAGCAATGCACACGGGCGTCCGATCTCACTACCCAGAGACCAGGGAGAATTACTAGAAGTCCAAGTCCACGTGAAAAAATCCCAGCCCTTATCAGTGATTGAACCCGAAACTTCTAACAGTCGAGGCGGACACCATGCCTTGAGACCACGCAACCCCCAGACTAAAGGGTAAGTAAATTAAAGGAATTTAGTCCACGCCTTAGAACGTTTAGGCATATAGTGGAAGACCTATATTTTATAGAACATTCAGCACTCGGTGGGTGATAGAGTAAACAGGCTTGCTGCATTTACTTCCAGAAGTTACCTGGCACCCATG